GTCACGACAACACAACGGCAGACAGAACAGACACAGGCCAGAGCAGGCGCGTTCCTTCACTCCTGCTTCCCGGCCAGGGTGGGCTGCCCGCCGCCGCCTTCGCCTCCACCCCCCCGTCGTACCCTGGTCGTACCTACCCTCTACTGGACGGCACCTTCCCAATACCTTACCTGCGACCATACACTTTTCTCCAGCTGCCACAACCCTTTCCACCTCGCTCCCTCAAAGCCTCCCGCTGCAACCTGATTCTCGCCCGCCATACTCGACTGGCGACACGATTATTGCTGTCGCCGACAACCGCTACAACACGCCAACTCCAAGGAGAACAGAACAACTGAACCTCTGTGCCTGTGCAGACTGCAATTGTGTTAGCGAATCCACCGGCGCGACTCGCTTCACGCCTGTTATCTTGTCTCGAACCCGCTACCGTGCCCATATCTGGAGCGCAGGAACGCTGTGGCGAGAGCTTCACAAGCCACACATACATCCCGTCGCGTCTCCGTCTCCCAACCTCATGACTCGTTGAGCATCGCCATTATCCCAGAGAGAGACAGCTGTCGCGCGCCAGACGTACCATTGAACAATCGTCCCTTTTGAATTAATTACTGTCGAGGTCGAATGCCGCTTCCCCCGCTCATGGCCTCGGAAAAGGGTTCTCTCGCGACCGAAGACACTTCAGTGACGGCGACGGTCCTCCCCAAGCCGGACCAGACCGCGTCTTCCCTCTTCGCCCTCCAGGAACCCCAGCGGAGCAAGTCTCTGAAGAGAACGCGCGAGACCACTCCGACTTCTCCCACCTCCCTTGTCGCTGGCGACCAGCCGATCATCACCGGATCCCCGACCAAGTCGGCACGCCTAGGGCTGCTCAATCGACGCTCGCCTGTCCCGCCCTTGACCGGCGCTGCCGCCCTCGAAGACCAGCGACGTCAACGCGAAGAAGAGGAGGCCCGCGCGGATCCGCCTGGCTCGAGCGAGAACCCCAGCCAACGCATCCTGTCGGCGCTCGCTGGAGACGCCGCATCCGTCATGAGCCGGGCGAGCGACGCGCCGCAGGCACCTACGGCGTCCATGGACGTGCCGCCGCCCAAAGCGCCGCCCAGCGTCTCGATACCCTTGATCAACCATGCCGCCACCGATACGGCCGAGGCCAGCCCGCAGAGCGCGACGAGCGCTGCCAGCATAGGAGGCACCTTGGTCACGGCGAGCCCGGGTCCTATGGAAGTCGACCCCACTGCCAACGAGCAGGCGACGCCGGCGCATCACTCCCACGCCCCGGACGACAAGAACACGCCCGGGTCGCTGTCATATCCCGGATCACTGCACGCCAGCATGATGTCGGCACCACCGGCGCGCGGCATGAGCTTCCCCATGCCGTCACCCGGGCAAGACTCGCCCGGACAGCCCGGCGGGAAGAAGCACAAGTGCCCGTACTGCGAAACTGAATTCACGCGTCACCACAACCTGAAGAGCCACCTTCTGACACACAGCCAAGAGAAGCCTTTCATCTGCCAGCAATGCGATTCCCGCTTCCGTCGCCTGCATGATCTCAAGCGCCACAGCAAGCTTCACACGGGCGAGAAGCCTCACATTTGCCCCAAGTGCAACCGCAAGTTTGCGCGCGGCGATGCTCTCGCGCGACACAGCAAGGGCGCTGGCGGTTGCGCCGGCAGGCGCTCGAGCATGGGTAGTTTTGGTGCTGATGTGGATGGCCTCGATGATTCCGGCATGCACGACGACTCCATGACCGGGGTATCATACGGCAACGACGAGGGGATGACGGAGGAGGAGAGAAGACATTTGAGCCTTCCAAGCATCAAAGCTTCTCATGTTCCTGGTGGGCAATCTTCTATCGATGGCTTTGGGCCGCATTCACGGACTTACCCCCCAGCAGGCTCACTCGAGAGACCATCTGGGGGTCTTTACCCCCCGCCTCCGCCGCAGGACAGGGGCGCATCTGGATCGAATACATCTCCCAGTATGGGCAACAGCATGGGCGGCGGCCATACGCCGAACACGAGTGTATCCTCCATGCCCATCAGCGGTGCGGGCTCCTCCATGTACTCTCAGGGCGGAACCATGACGGAGAGCCCTAAGCCCTTGAGCCCTGGCGCTGCGCACGACGGCACCGGCCTGAGCAGACAGCGATCGCCGAGTCTCACGCAGCAGTTTCAACAGCAGCATTTCGGGCGCAGGCAGTCCGACCGTCACACCCCTCCAGGTTCGTCTCGCACCGTCACATACCCACTGATGAGTCAAGTGCAGTTTTGCTTACCAGTCACGCAGGCTTCGCCTCAAACAGCGCGCCATCAGCCAACGGCCCTCCAGCCCGCGCATCAGGGAGTTCGCACGGCGGCGCAAGCACGGAGAACGGCGGCAACATGTTTGCCACTGACCCTGGTGTCTGGACGTATATCCAGACACTGGAGGCCCAGGTGAAGCAGCTGTCGGAAAATGTGGCGGCCATGCAAAAGGCGGACAGTGCCAAACAGGCCCAGATCGGGCTGCTCACGACCGAGATGACAGCGCTCAAGAAGCAACTCCAGGCTCAAGAATCTGAGGCGGCGGCCAAACAAGCGCAGATCGGGCTCCTGACAGCAGAAGTGACCGAATTCCGAAAACAGCTCCAAGGCCGCGAGACGGAGGCCCTCACGCCCAAGGCATGAATGATGCGTCAAGTCCCATTGGTGCAAGCACATAAAGCAACGAGAAGTGCACACCTCCCAACTATGTAACAACGACGGCATGCAGCATCAAGGAAGGAGGACGGCAATGGTTGGCACGCGCCGGCAGGGCGACGACGTGCAGGCGTTTATTTTCTCTCGTTACATGCATCCTCATTCCTAATCGCTCGTTTTCTTGTTCTTGAATTTCTTCTTCTTCTTCATTCCTGTCATTCGGATCATCTGTTTATCTCCACATCACTCACAGATATCCTCTTCTCGACCGCATCAGACGCTTTCTCGTTTCTTCTTACATTTGGGCAAGGCGTTTTTACAAAGGGACCGAGAGAGCGGGAAGGAATCCGTCTGGGGTTCGAGAAAAGGGCGACTTGTTGCGGCTTCACGGGCAAAAAGTTTCGAAAGTTTTGGACGGAGGGGTTCGTTGAGGCGATCCTGTGGGAAGTCTCTCGTGGTGTTGTTGTTAGAGCTGGATGGTGTCTCGCGTGTTTCCTACCTGTCTGGTGCTCTGAAACGAAATGGCGCTGCCTTGCCACGGCGATGGACGGAGACGGGAGACGGGTCAGAGCAGGTTTCCTTGCCATTTTTTGTGTGTTTGTATCATACCTACCTCGATCACGTTCACTGCAAAGAGAGGGGGGAGGGATCTTTGCCTCGGGGTAGCACAGCACCTGCGGGGTCTTCTCGCAAGGGACTGAAGCAGCGGCACAAATAAAAGACACACTCAACAAGTGGACTGTCCCAAGACGAAAGTCATGCGGCCTGACATGGTAGTTGGGTAGCTACGTATTTTTGGCAGGCCAATGCGCCCAGCTCGCGGTTGAATCGGTTGACGGCGAAAATGGTCCACCATGATGAGCATGAGGAAGATACAAACATACACTGGCAGACGGGTCAGACACACAAAGGTGACTCATGCATCCGGTATCGTGATGAGGGTCTTGCTCTTTGGAGTTTTTTTTCTTGCTCTCCATTTCGTGCGACCACTCATCTTGGCCGTGTGTCGGCCGGGGGGGATACACAGTAAGGTGAAGTTGGGTGGCAACACGTGGTGCTGCATATAGGGATCCAGCCAGCATGTGTGGTGCCAGTCGCACGACCCTGTCTCGTCCGTCGTCGATGGTCCTATCGGCAAGCCGACCAAGCTGCAGGTGAGCGGGATCGTGAGTGGGCAGATGCAGCGGGTGCTCATGCCGGGTGTGCCTCCGAGAAGGCCTCCTTCGTTGGGCGGCAGGACGTTCGAACCGAGACGGGGAGACAGGACAGAGGGGGGGGGGGGGGGACATCGGTCGGGTCGGCCGGCTGGCCACCTACGTGCATGATCACTGGCCTCGAGGCAGAGAGCGAAGTGGCAGAGGTGGGGAGAGTACGTCCGGCAGGTACCTGGGTAGATTGAATGCGCTGGCGGCGGTCAGGGTGCGTACGCTTGAGTGGACGACAGGTTGGATGGACAAGAGTGGCGACGACGCTAGGGGGCAAGGTGAAGCGTGAGAATGGGTGGGGACTCGAGTCCTCGTCCCCGTCCCCAGCCACCGCCAATTCATCAGAGCCGGGAGGGAGGCCGCTCCCCTCCTCCCCTACCTTAGGGGAGGTACCTAGCGACGGCCTGTCCCGCTCGCTGGACCACCCGACCTCTGTCGCTCTCTTCGTCTTTGTGTCTTTGTGTTGACTGCCAACGACCGAAGGGAGGTATACAATAAGGTATCTGAAGCTGACATACCTACCTACCTTCCTGTTAATCAAGGCAGGTAAAGGTCTATGGTAGGAACCCGTTAGAGAGCACCTGCCAGTACCTAGTCATAAAAAAGGACCTTGGTCGAGAGCTCCTGCCAGTAGTCCATCGAAAGCACAGCAAAGCAGGAAAGTACAGCTGATCTCAAGGCGCACCTAACTGGGGTCCAATGTCGCTTGTGCCTGCTCGTGCAGCAAAGAAGCGCCCACACAGCGAGCCCACACAGCGTGGCCCACCCCCCTAGACTCTGGTGCCGGCCTGAGCAGTCAGAAGGAGTAAGGCACCTACCACCTGCCTTACACCGAGCCAAGTGAGTGAGGTAGAGAGATAGTCGAGGTGCCATTTCTCCAAACAAAACAACACCCTCCCACCGCCACATCGCAAACCACCAAACATCATCACAGAGTGTGATTGATTACCACCCCCCCTTCCCTCTTTCAGCGAGTGTGTCTGTACCCGATAGCGACGCGACATTTTGTTTGCACGATTCCCTCTATTTTGGTCGCATCCACTCGGGAAGAAAGAAGGAACAATACGCGATCAGATCAACACACACCAATGCTCGACAGCTACCCGCCACCGCTGTCACCATGATGCGAGATTCTCGTCGGCGGAGCCCGACCGAGAGCTCCCGGCGACGGAGAAAAGAGCGTCGCAACTCGCGCGACAAGATCGAGCTCGTCTCCGCCCCTAGCGCCAGCGAGAGCGCGACCCGAAGCATGGAGATGCCAGGGCCCATGCCTGGTAGCATGCCAGAGGACCCCGCGCCCCGGGTGACCGAGACATCGCGCGCGCCGCCCGAGACGTCGTCTTCGCGATCCCACCCACAGCTGCCGTCGCAGTCGCAGTCGCAGTCGCAGTACCAGTACAATCGCCAGTATCACGACCAGGCCCAGACACCACAGCCTCAGTACCAGTCTGCCTACCAACAGCCGCTGCCGCAACAGTCTCCGTACCAGCAACAACAACAACAACAACAACAACCACAGACCTACCAGCCTCAGCAGTCGTCGTTCCAGCAATACCCCCAGCAGTACCAGCAGTATCCGCAAAATCAGTATTCTCAACAGCACCAGTCGCCTTCTCAATACCCCGCGCATCCACAAGCGCCTTACTATGGCGAACCCGTGCATTCGTATCCCAATGGACGTGCCCGAAACTCGGACAGCTCCTCCGACACATCGTCCTCGCTGCTCAACGTCTCACGCCGGAGCCCAAAGCACGCCAAGGCAGGCAGCGTCTTCACCACCTTCTTCCGCAGCCCTTCCGAGCAGCGCCACCGCCGTCGCCAGAAGAAGAAGAACACGCGCTTCATGTCCTTCGGCGCCAACTCATCGTCCTCTTCCCTCGACTCGGACCTCGCCTATGGACGTGGATACATCCCTCGCGAGGGCGGCAGCCTGGCGAGCGGCAGCCGTCGCGTGAGCCCTGGCCCCAACGGAAAGGGAAGCCAGTACAGCCAGAGCACTCGTCGAACACCCATCGCCGAGCTGCACCGCCCTCCTCTCTCTGTTCGTGGTGGCAAAGCCGAACAGGCCAAGACAGACGAGGAGATCCTCGCCATCGGCCGCCAGCTCTCTGATATTGCGCGCAAGCAGAACGAGGCTGATCTACGTGCTTCCGGCAAGGTGCGCCCTTCCACGTTGGTCGGCGCCGCCGCCGCTCTGAGTGCTTTCAGTCGTTCGAGGACCAAGGATAGCTCCAAACGGGGCATCGGCAGCTCCCGGCCTGGGCGTGACGACGAGGACTCTGACTGGGAGTCTGCGTCTGACGACGATGACTCCTCGTCAAGCGACGATGCTGACCCTGGACTCGTCTACGGCTCGACCGCCAACCTGCCTAGCTCACTGGGGGCACCAGCCAGTCAAGCAGCGCATGATGGGAACCGGAACCATGCTGTGGACCCCAGCCTTTTTGGACCTTACAACTCCCTCCGGGGCTCAGTGACGCCGATCCCGTTTGCGCAGCCCTCTCATGTCTACAACTCTCCGCGCCACCAGTCCGAGGAGCCAAAGGCCGATACCCCTTCGTCGTCGTCAAGGATCGGCAAGCAGCCCATGCAGCATGTCTATGCTATCCCAACCTCGGATCCGAACAACTTCGATATTGACCGCGGATCGATCATCTCCTCTCGGCACACAGCATCCCAGTCCTCACGCCCCCCTCCCGTGCCGCTGCAGCAGCCCATCCCCGTGGCCCCCGTCTCGTCCAAAGTCTATGCAACCGAGAAGCTCGCGGATGAGGACCGCCGCAGGGAACTCCGCGGCGAACGTAGGCACACCGACGGTGGCAGCCTCGCCGGTGCCGCCGTTGCTGGCGTTGCGGCTGCGGCTATAGGCGCAGCGGTGGCCTCGAGCCGGAAGGACTCTCGCGATGTTCGCGACAGTCGCGACGTCCGAGACCCTCGTGACCCTCGCGATCATCGAGACTCGCGTGACTCTCGCGGCGCCCGCGACTCGCGTGACTCTCGCGGCGCCCGCGACTCGCGCGACTATCGTGATTATCCGCGTGAAGATCGGCACCAGGAGCGTCGCTCAGGCCGGACCGACTACCCGGAAAAGACGGAGCGTGATGATTACGCTCGCGCCGATAAGGACAGCCGTCGCCGTTCCCACCGGGACAGCAATGTCAAGGTAATCGACGAGCGGGACCAGACGTCTTCTCGACGGGAAAAGGACCCTTCGTACGACTCACAGCTCACGAGAAGACACACCGCCCCCGTTGACCAACGTGACAAATCCTATAAGCTGCCGAAAGGAGACGAAATCCGGGTTGAGCTTGATCAAGAGAAAGACCCTCGCCACCAGGACGAGCTTCGTCGAGCTCGGCGTGAAGAGGCTCCGGCTGCCACCAAGGAGGAGCGACGCAGGTCGAGACCTGAGCAACAACCGGTAGAACTGCCCCCAGAGAACCAGCGAACTGCCTTGACCGAAACCCCCGCCTCACGAGCTCCTATTGACCCTTTCCAGTTTCAGGTTGCCGACGATGCCTTCGCGACGCCCAAGCACGCGACACCCACAAGGCCCTTGACACCCCAGGTCTTTACCATTGACCGCGAACCCGATTTTGGCGACTCCAAGCCCCGGAGCGGTCCGTCCGAGGACACGAGGCTGAGCCGAAAGGACTCGTTCGAGATTGAGCAGCGCATGGAGCTCGATCGCAAGGGATCTCGCTCTCGATCCAGGACTCCGGAACCCCGACGCCGCCACGCCTACGAAGAGGAGGAGCATGCCGCTAGGTCCATTTACGAGGAGGCCAAGCATGCGACGGCGCCTGTTGCCGTTGCCGCCTTTGCCTCGGCCATCGCCATCGAGCAGCAGCGCTCTCGCGAGCGACATCGTGACGATTACGACGATGACGGATCGCGCCGGCGGACGGGGGCCGACCGAGATGTCGTTCAGGAGGAGGCTGACCGCTACTACCGCGAATCTGTCATAGCCCGCAAGATTGCCGAAGATGACCTTCGATCGCGCAGCGCATCCCCCCACGACAAGTCTATCGTCGACAAGTGGCAGGAAGACAAAGAGCCAGCTACCAAGGAGATTGCCATCGTCACGCCGCCTGAGATGGACCACCCTCACGACAAGAGTCCTTACGACGCCCCAAACGCCGATGTCCGCATCGACCATGTCATCAAGCCCAATGAGCTTTCACGGTTCCGTGTGCCAGCTGACGAACTGTACGTCGACACAGCAACTGTCTGGAAGTCCCGCGATCCGTCTTGCGAGCGAGATCGCCCCTTGCTCAACCTCGTTCTCCCCACACCTCATGTCACGCCAAGTCCCACCCCGAATCCCGAGACGCAGAGTAGGGCCGCCCCGAGAGAGGCTGATAAGCAGCAAAGTCAGTCTAGTGAGACAAGGTCTACGCCGCCGGACATCATTATCGGACCTCGCGGAGAGATCATCCAGACACCATCTACTCCAAAATCTGTCACCTGGGGTGAGAACGAAACCAAACGCTTCGAGGTTGAGAGCCCTGAGCCGCCTGAGAAAAAAGGGGGCTCCCGCATCAGCACCACCACTGGCTGGGGGGTTGTTGCCGCGGCTGTCGCCGGCAGCGTGGCAGCGAGTTCCGACGGAAAACCCTCGAGGAACGGCGACGACAGAGGCCGCGGCTGGGATGACCCGTCTCGATCACGAACGTACGAGGTCGTCGATGCGCGACCTTCCTGGGATGATGCCGATGCCCCTCCCATCCCTGGACCTAAGCCCCGCAGCCCCAGTCCTAGCGGGCGTAATCCGACTATGCCGGGTGGCTTTGGCGACGATGCGGAATTCACCAGCATCATGGCCGCTGGTCTTCAAGATTCTGGATTTGACCCAAAGATTGTCACTCAGAACCCTGCCTACAGCAGGAGGAGCTGGGATGATACATCCAAGCCGAGGTCCGACGTCGGAACCAAGGGCCAATCCTCTTGGGACGACAAGGACGCTTCCTGGGTCCCTGAGACGAAGAAGACGCGTAGTTCCAGTACCGGTCCGCGACGGGCTCGTGCTTCTGGTGGCTATGGCGACGATGTCGAATTTGCGTCCGTTTTGGCTGCAGGGCTGCAAGACACCGGCTTTGACCCGAACATCGTCATCGACGACCCCACCTACCGCAGGCGCGACAGCCCTCCCGGCTCTAACGAGCCCGGCTTGTATCACAGGCCCTACGCGGAAACCGTGTCTGATCTCGGTGTCGTGGCTGACGCGATCCCCCGCGGCCCGCTCCCTGAATCTGGCATGGTCCTGGGTGAACTCACCGAGACCCCTGTCCAGGAGACCGCTCCAGCTGTTGACGGTTGGGATACTCCCTCGAAGCTGTCGAAGAAAGACAAGAAGAAGCGTGACAAGGCTTCCAAGCGACAGAGCACGGACACCTTTGATGAGCCTCTTCCTGCAGCCGAGCCAGCACCCGCTGATGACCTTTCGCGTGACATCGTTCCCGAATCCATCTCTGAACCTGTCGCAGACCAGGAGGACTTGTCCAAGCTCAGCAAGAAAGAACGGAAGAAGCGCGAGAAGGCTCTGGCTAAGGAAGTTGTCATTGTCCAGGATGACGTCCCCTCAACAGCTCTCGAGACCGACCTGCCGGCCGCCCAGCCTGCCGACGTGGCCGCTGAAGATGAGTGGGCTGCGCCGTCATCGTCATCCAAGAAGAAGAAAAAGAAGGGAAAGAAGTCTACGGATACGCCAGACGAGACGGAGGACCAGCGCGTGGCTGTTCCTGTTGACGCCTTTGAGGACTTGCAATCAACTACGCGCGAGGCCGAGCCCGTGCTCGACGAGTTTGATACACCCAAGAAGTCCAAGAAGAAGTCGAAGCGGGATTCCCTCATATATGACTCGCCTTCCGGGGCCGTCTCTGAGGTCTCTGTCGGTGGCACTCGGACCAAGAAGTACCACAAGCGCGACTCTACGGTCTACGACTCGCCGTCGGGGGCCGTGTCCGAAGTTTCCGTCGGTGGAACACGCAGCAAGCGATCTTCCAGGCAGGACTCGCTCTACGACTCTCCCTCCGCGGCGGTCTCTGAGGTCTCAGTCGGAGGTACCAGGAGCAAGAAGGACAAGCGCAAGAGCGCAGACTATTCTCTCGCGGATGATTATGCGGACGACAAGCCGGGCGACCCGCCGGATCGAGGCGGCCGTTCATTCATAGACGATCGCGACGTCACCTCTGTCGTGTCCGACCCGGCCTCCAAGTACGATCGCCACGAACGGCGATCCAACGGGACCCGGTACGACGATGGCGATGATACAAGGTCGATTGCTTCATTCGCGTCAGCGCCCGACGGCCGTAAACGGAGCAGCAAAGACGGCAAGCGCAAGGAGCCCGAGAAGAAGAGCAGCGGGTTCTTCGGCCTCTTCAACCGCAGCAGCACAGAGGTGAATAAGAAATCTGACAGTCGTAAAGACGAGCAGTCTTTTTTAGATAATGCCGGCACCCTTGGCGCGGGTGTCGGCTTGGCGGGCGCGGCGGCTTATGCCGCGTCCCGCCGGAATGCTGCCGGTGCTTTCTCTTCGGAGGACGTTGAACCCAAAGACCGACCGACCGGGTCTGCATCTAGAGATGTTGACTATGTGGATCCCGAGATTGTTCACCGGACCATCAAGCCTGCCATCGATCCCCAGTACGGCGATCTGCTACCTCTGCCGCCGAGCGAGCCCGGCTCGCCCAGGAAGGATGAGTCAGATGAGGAGCTCCCTGCGCTGCCAGACAGCCGACCGGAGACGCCTCCCGAGGAGCGCAACAAGTTGCGTCAAAAGCCGTCGCACACCCGCAGGAGAAGCGCCGTGGACACGCCCAGCAAGAGCCCCAGCCGCACCGCCATTCCTATTCAGCTGCGACTGGGCCAGCGGTCCAACCCGTCTTCTCCGGCATACCACAAATCATCGCCCGTCGCCTCTCCCATTGCCGCGCCCGTGCCTGAGCCTACTACACCCAGGAGGCCGACTTCGTGGGACAACAGCCGTGAGATTAAGCCACTCTATCTTCTTGAGCATGCGCGCCAGGGCCAGATGGACCCTGAGGTTGACCTACCCGAGCTGCCGCCCAGCGAGGCATCGTCGCGCGAATCACCCTCGCCGTTCGCTCAAACCGATGACGATCTCGCCGCATGGGACGTGTTGTATCCCGAGGAGCATGGCCTGCGACTTGACACTGATATCCCTGAAGCTTTGCTCAAGGACCGCGCAGGATCCCAGGAATCAACCCCCAAAGCTACAAGGCGCGAGCTCGATGCCGACGCCATCTATCCTCTGGCCCTCGATGACGCGCCCCTCCCTTCTTCGCAAGCAAAATCTCTTGACTCGATGGTCTCTCAGGATGATCTCATCGACCTCCCTCCTCTACCCAGTCACCCTAGTGGTCCAGATTCCGAACAGGAACCGGGCCCTGTCGAGCCAATGTCGAAGGACCGGAGCTCGTATCTCCTTCACTCGACGCCCCCGTCTCTCCGCGACATTGCTGAGCGGGACTGGTCGAGGACATCTCCTGACCAGTCACCGAGCCGAGATGCCGCGGTGGACGTTCAGGACGGCGAGAAGAAGAGGAGTTCTGGTCTCTGGGGTGCGGCTGCTGGCGTTGCCGCCGGCGGACTTGCCGCGCTGGGGCTCTTCGGTTCTTCTGACAAGAAGGCCGAAACCCCTGCGACAGAGGACGACAGGAAGGACGAGACGGCCGAAGCCCAGGACGAGTGGGCCTCGACTCCGTCAAAGAAGAAGAAGGGCAAGAAGGGCAAGAAAGCAAAGGAGGAGGTCGCTGAAGATGTGTTCACGCCTGTGCCTGAGGACCTTTCCACTCCAGTCCCGGAGGTCCTTTCTGCTCCTGTTCCTGAGCCGGACATCGTCCCCGCGCAATCTGCCGATGACGTCGGTGAGACTAAGGCCTCGAAGAAATCGAAGAAGAAGGGCAAGAAGAATGCATCCGCGGAACCCGAACCCGAAAGCGCGGCTCCTTTGGAGACCGTAGAGGAGACCCCCCGTGCTGTTCCGGAAGAGCTGCCCAATTCTGAACCTCCTGTGGAAGACGTGGTTGCGATCGACGTGTCGGACGCAATTGCTGAGGCTGCCGCTCCGGCCGCGGAAAATGTCCTCGACGAGCCCAAATCTGCCAAGAAGAAGAAGAAGAAGGGCAAGAAGTCGCAAGCGCTGGACTCTGAGCTCCAAGCACCGACAGAAGTCGTGGATGAGAGCTCTAGAACCATCTTGGACTTGGACGACGCCCCTGCAGCAGAGATCCCCGCCGCTGAGACGATTCCTGCTGAACCTCCTCTTGGAAACGCTGCCGTTGCCGAAGTTGTGCCGGAAGCCGCCATCACTGAAGCCATCATTCCAGTTGGCGAGGAACTTGTCGAAGAGCCAAAATCTTCCAAGAAGAGCAAGAAAAAGTCGAAGAAGGCGCAGACACCAGAACCGGAGCCCACTGTCGAAACCGCAGTGGTTGATGACGCTCCCGAGCCGACCCCAGATGAATCCATCGCTGCTGATCCTCTTGCTGCCAACGTCGTTCCCGACGCGGCCCCTCAGACTGCCGACGACACATTCGAAGAGCCCAAATCCACCAAGAAGGGTAAGAAGAAGGGCAAAAAGGCGCAAATCTTGGAGCCTGAGCCAGAACAGCCCATCGAAGACAACATCAAAGCCGTTTCCGATGAGACCCCACTTGATGGATTTGTTGAGTCCACGGCTCAGCCTGTTCTCGAGATGCAGCCTGAGCCAACTTCTACTGCGGAGATTGCACCTGATACTTCTGCTCCGCCTCCTGAGGACAGCTTCGAGGAGCCCAAACCCACAAAGAAGAGCAAGAAGAAGGGCAAGAAATCACAGTCTTCGTCATGGGATGTTGATGAGCCGCAAGCCGCAGCCGCGGAGGAGATTTCCAAGGCCTTGCCTGACGAGCCCCTCGCCGGAATTGTCGAGACACCCGAGGAGCCAGTCACCCCGGCGCCAGAAGACGCCCCCGAGGAACCGAAGTCTTCCAAGAAGAGCAAGAAGAAAGGCAAGAAGGGCTTATCGCTGGATGCTGACTTGCCTGTCGAGCCGGTGGAGGATATCTCACAAGCCTCTTCCCAAGATGCTGTTGCTGGTGAGCCTTTCACTGACGATGCCTTGACTGAGCCATCTACACCCTTGGCTGGCGATGCCCTCGAAGAGACCAAGTCATCCAAGAAAAGCAAAAAGAAGGACAAGAAAACGCCCACCTGGGATGATGACTGGGCTGCCGACGCAGGGGAACAGAGCACCGTTAAAGCACCTGCGGAGGAGATTTCTGCCGAGGCACCCATTGCCACCGATGTTGTACCCGAAGTTCCTGCCGTTGAGGCTATTGGAGGCGCCCCCGCTCCAGCGAAGCTGTCAAAGAAGGACAAGAAAAAGGCTAAGAAGAACCAAGGTGCAGATCTAGACTGGGCGGAAGCAACAGACGACTCTATTGTCAAAGCCGAGGAACCCGTGGTTGAGGATTCGATCACTGCGGCTGCCTTGCCCGAGGTGTCTGTTGCTGAGCCCATAGAGGAGCCCCCTGAACCTGCGAAGCTGTCCAAGAAGGACAAGAAGAAGGCCAAGAAGAACCAATCTTGGGAATCTGACTGGACAGCGGATACGCCACAGGAGAGCACTGCGACGGCAACCGATGTTGAAGCCCCCGTGGTGCAGATTGAAGGAGAGACCCCCGACCTTGGGCTTGAGACTCCACTTGACAGCACGACCGCATTTGACGAGCCAGACGCTGGCTCGAAGAAGGGCAAGAAGAAGAAGAAGGGGAAGAAGGCAACATCTCTGGATGAAGAGGCCACTTCGGCAGTCCTTACCGAGCCCGTTCCCGAGGCTATCCTCGCGGACGAGCCCGCCAACCAAGACGACAATGTTTCTACCGGCTCAATCACCCCCACGGGCCTCTCCGCATCGTACAAGCAAGACGAGGCGATGCTAGCTTGGGAAGATGCCCTCGACGACCACTCTGCCATCAAATCTCCGCCTCAAGCCGCCCAAGGCCTCGGCAATGAGCTACGACAAGCCGACGATCCTGCCCCCGACGACGCTTCCGACATCTTCTTTGACGCCGAGGACGAAGCGAGAGCGCTGTCCAGAGCTGCGACACCCGCCAACGCCGACTTCAATGCCCAGGCCATGCTGAACGAGACGACACCGGAGGCCAAGCCGCCTGCTCCGGACCCATGGGCCGACGAAACATTTTTTCTACCCCCAAAGAAGAGCAAGATCAAGGGTAAGAAAAAGACGTCCCTCCGCGAGGCCGCCCCCCCAGCCGAGGCCGAGCCGAGTGCTTCCACCGAAGCGCCGCCTGTTGAAGACCCCCCTTTGGCCGCCTTTGGTAGCCAGCCACTGCCAGAGAGCCAGGCTGATGCGGATGCGCTTCAACAGAACCCTCCTTTTACGGATGAGCCCCAACTTGGAGACGTGCCCGTTGCCACGGATGAAACGACCAACGAAGGAGACTGGGGCTCCACGGCGATCACGAAGCAGAGCAAGAAGCAAAAGAAAAAGGGCAAGAAGGGATCTGTTTCGGAGCTGGGCCAGGGCAACAACCAAGACGACGCCTCGCGGGATCTTGCATCTTCTATCACTATGGGCGGGGACGACAGCCCGCTTCCTGTACCTGAGTCACCAGTTGACCATGTTGAATTGACACCTACGGTTTCTACTGCAGACAAGACCAAGAAGAACAAGAAAAAGGCGCGCAAGTCGGTCACGTTTGACCTGGACACGGGCAAGACTTCTGATGCCGTTGGGCCGGTCGTGACAGGCGACCAAGATGGTCAGGACCAGGATATGCTGTCCTCCAGCGGCGGCGGCGGCGGCGGCGACGACAATGTGAGCTCGGGCCCGGCCGTTGGCGGAATTAGTGGCATCGCCGAGGCGACCCTCCCCGAGACTAGTACCGAGTGGTCCGCGGGCGTGGGCGCCGATTCTGGCTCAGCCGATAACGGCGGTGAACATGAGCGGCAGCAGCGCGAGGTTTTGCCCCTGCACGCAATAACAGATGCAACAGGTGCAGCAGATGCAGCGACAGCAACAGCGCCTGAAGCAGCTGCTGCTGATGAGGCCACCTCAGGCGGTGAGGCTGGCGCAGCGGGTAAAGAGCTCAGCTCCACGGACCAGGCCGCAGCCACTGACAGGGCGGCGGACCTGGCGGGAGATCTGGCCCCGTCCCGCCCCTTCGCAGACGACAATTGTCTTCTTCATGCAGATGACGCGCCGCTGTCCGGGGAGGCAAGTGGCCCAACCTCCAATGACGACAAATCAACAGGGGACACGCGAGGCACGGATGCCCAAACGGTGGATCCAGCCCTCACCGACTCGACCCTGGAGGTTGGTGCCCCACAGGAGCTCCCGGGGCCGGTCTTGGCGCTCGACAATACTACTCCCGACGAACCCCAGGTCGTGAGCTCCCATGTTGCTCCCGAGGCAGAAGTCACTTTCGTGACAGAAAATTCAGCTACCCTTCCAGAAGGTGATGACATGGCCGTGCCGACGATTGTGAAGCCCGACGACGAGTGGGCTGAGACGCCGTCCTCCAAGAAGAAGGCCAAGAAGGGCAAGAAGAAGGCGGCTGCTGCTTCTTCCGCCTGGGGCGATGAGTCCGAATCTGCCCAGCAACAACCAGAAGAAGTCAAGAGCATCGACGATTTTTCAGTGTCAACACCTTCACAAGATGAGCCTGTCTCATTACCACAACCCGCAGAGCCTGAGGGCCCGGCACTCGATGACCCTGTCACTGCTCCCACACCAGCAGCTGATGATGATGAGTGGGCTCTGCCAGCGTCCGGGAAGAAGAGCAAAAAGAACAAGAAGAAGAAGGGATCCGCCATAACCTCGGACGAGCCGGTGCCGGAGCCGGAGACACCAACACAAACGACTGAAGAATCGCTTTCGCTCAACCAATCTTCACCACAGGTCGAGCCTCAACCCCCCACAGCGCCAGAACTCGCCGAGCCTCTCGAGAATGTTGAACCTGTCCTTGCGGCTGAGGCTGTCGAGGACGAGTGGGCGGCATCGACGTCTGGGAAGAAGGCGAAGAAGTCCAAGAAGAAGAAGACACTCGCCGTGGAGGAGCCTGAACCCGAGGCTGCAGTTGCACCTGAGCTCGCTCCCCAACCCGAAGCTGAGCGCTCAGTCGAGGATATGCAAACTCTTGCTCCTCAATTGGAACCTTCTTCAGACCTGGTCAAGCGTGCACCTGTGCCAGAGGCTGCTGATGACGAATGGGCGTCGCAGCCTGTCGGGAAGAAGGGCAAGAAAAACAAGAAGAAGAAGGAATCCGCATCTGCTTCTGACGAACCTACCGCTGAGCCTGCTGCTAGCGAAGTGGTTGACGACATCCTCGCCAGCGATTCGGCCGCGCCTGAAAAAACCGTCGACGAGTCTACTGTAGAGGGCCCGTTGCCTGCGACCGAAGCTGTCCCCGTAGCGACTGCGCCAGCCTCTTCTGAGCTAGTAGAGGCTGCCGAGGATGAGTGGGCCTCACAGCCTGCCGGTAAGAAGAGTAAGAAGGACAAGAAGAAGAAGAAGCAGTCTGCCCTTCAGCCTGACGATCCGACGCCAGAGGCTGCCGCCGAGGCGTTCGAGGCTGCTGCAGCCGATCCTCCCGTTGAGACAGAGCCTGTCAAGATTGAAATTCCCATCGAGGCCGAGCCGGCGATTACGCAGGATGCCGAAGTCGCGCCGTCTGTTGATGACTCTGCCTTCGAGACTTCGGGATCTAAGAAGTCGAAGAAAAACAAGAAAAAGCAGAGTCTTCTCGCGGCTACGCCGGACGAAACACCCGCAGTTCCCGAGTCACAACCTGAGTCGCCCACTGCCACTCCCACTGAAACTGCGCAGGAGCCGGCACAGACTGCTGATGGCTGGGGCTTCGAAGCTCCCACAAAAAAGAGCAAGAAGGGCAAAAAGAAGCAAGCCGCAGCTCTCGATGATCTCGACAGCGCTCTACAGGAAGATGTCAAGGTTGCTGACGCCGAACCCCCGGCGCTTGATGATGCTCCTACCCCTGATCCTGCTTCTGACGAAATCCCCTTGGGTGAATCGACGACTCCTCTAGATACCCTCTCACGGGACCTGGACACGAGCGCCCCTTTGACGACCTCTCCGAATGAACCCATTGAGGAGGTCACCGCGCCAATCCCAGAAGAGGAGTTCCCAACGACCACGAAGAAATCCAAGAAGGACAAGAAAAAGAAGAAGGATCTCGTTGAAGAATCTGTACCAGAGCCACCACCTGTGTTGGAGGAGCCGACTGTCATGGATGAAGTTGTGCCAACTCACCCGCCCCCGGAGGATGACTCTTTTTTCGCGAGCACCAGCAAGAAGGACAAGAAGAAGAAGAAGGGCCTTCTGGCTGCTGCTGGTCTAGTGGCTGCGGCCGCCTCTAGTGTTGAAGCCTCCCCGCCTTCCAACGACGATGAAAGCTCCCGCCAAGCGCCCGCCGAGGTACCCGACAACTCCCAAGCAACGACAGATGTGCCACCAGCGGTCGAAGAGGTTTCCACCCCAGTTTTCGATGAAGCGCAGCCGACAGATATCGTGCCCGAATCCTTGGACCAGACCGCTGTTGCTGACGACGAGTTCCCTGTCGTCAGCAAAAAGCCTAAGAAGGACAAGAAGAAGAAAGGCAAGTCCGAGCCAGAGGCTGAGCTCGAACCGAAGGTCCAGGCCGAATCCGAGTCCACTCAGCTCGCCACACTGAGTTGGGCGGATGACATCCCTGCTGAGCCTCCGCAAGAGCCTGAAGCCCAGCCAGAACCTTCTGCGGTTGAGCCGGAGGAGGAGCCTGCTCCTGTTGTTGGCAAGAAGTCTAAGAAGGACAAGAAGAAGAAGGGCAAAGGCAACGCTGGCTCGGAGCCTGCATCTGAGGTCGCGACACCTGTCGAAGACCTCTCACCATCTCTGGAGCTTCCACCTGTGACTGAGGACCCGGCTCCTGCTGAGGCAGCGCCGGTTGTGTTAGCCGACGCGGCGCCTACTGATGAGTGGGCGGAGGAAACGTCTACGAAGAAGAAGTCCAAGAAAGACAAGAAGAAAAAGAAGGGCCTTCTTTCGGATGACCTCGAAACCCCATCTCCAGATTCACTCGCCGCACCAACAGAAACCGTTGCCGAGCCTGCCGTTGATCTTCCTACCGTAACGGATGATCTTGTCACTTCGGAGCCTGCTGTCATCGAGACACCGGCTACAGAGACGCCGGTTGCTGAGACGCCGGTTGCTGAGACGCCTGTAGTTGATGAATGGGAAGAGCAAATTTCCGTGTCCAAGAAGTCAAAGAAGAAGTCAAAGAAGAATAAGCTTCAGGACGATTCAGCTCTGGAATCTGGTGCTGCGACGCCTGTTGAAGAAGTCAGCCAGGATACCAAGGCTCTCGACTTGGCTACTACCGACGACATTCCGCCCGAATCCACCACCGTCGAGATTCAAGAAGAACATACCCTCACCCCCGACAATTCCGCCACCGCCCCCGAAGAGCCCGCCGCAGATGATGAGTGGGGCGCAGCGCCGACAAAGAAGTCGAAGAAGGACAAGAAGAAGAAGCGAGCGAGCCAGATCGAGCCAGAACCCCCCTTCAGCGCCGATCGAGTGGAAGACCAGGAGTTGCAGCAAAGTCCTCAGGTACGGGATAGTAGCCAGGAATCACCTCTCGATACGGCAGGCGCGAGCCCGCCTGTTGATGAGGTTTTGCCTGTACCCGATGTTGCCGTTGAGACGAGCGTTGCTCCTGTTGAGGATGGCGTTGTCGAAACTGCTGCTGCTCCCGGGGCTGCGGACGAATGGGCCGACTTTTCGACCTCCAAGAAGGGCAAGAAAAAGAACAAGAAGGGTAAGGGTGTCATTGAGCCTGAGCCTGAGCTTGAGGTCATTGCCGAGCCCGCTTCCGAGCCTGTTGTCGCGCCAGCTTCTGAGCCACTCGTTGAGACTGTCCCCCAAGTTGCCGATCTCACCGATTCTGCGGTCCCCCCTGTGGATCCTGCTACGCCTGTGGATCCTGCTGTTGAAGCTGTCGTGGAGCCTGTCGATGAGTGGGCTGAGCCGGCAACGTCGAAGAAGAGCAAGAAGAACAAGAAGAAGGGCAAGGCTATTACTGAGCCCGAACCCGAACTTACTCCGGAGACAATTGCCGAGCCCGTCCATGAGCCCGCTGTTGAGCCTACCATCGATCCTGTCACCGCGCCCATCGACCTTATAACTTCTGATGTCCTGCCTGCTCAAGACGCTGCGCCTGTGGCTTCCGAACAACCGGCCATTGAGCCAGTTGACGAGTGGGCGGAGCCCGCGACGACAAAGAAGAACAAGAAGAATAAGAAGAAAGGCAAGGGCGTCGTTGAGGTCGAGCCTGAGCCTGAACCTGTTCTTCAGTCTGTCACCGAGCTTGCACCTGAGCCTGTCGCCGAGCTCATAACTGAGCCTGTCGCCGAGCTCGCAACTGAGCCTGTCACCGAATCTGTGTCTGAACCGGTAGGCACCATTGCTACAGATGCACCTGCTGCTACCGAAGAACCATTGGTGGAGGCTTTTGATGAATGGGCCGAAGCCGCCACGTCAAAGAAGGGCAAAAAGAATAAGAAGAAGGCCAAGGGTGTTGTTGAGACCGAGCCCAAGCTTGAGCCTGAAATCATCCTGGAGCCTGTTCCTGAGGTCCTCTCTAAGCCTACTCCCGAACCCGCCGCCGATTCTCCTGCTGAGCCAGTCGATCTTGTGACCGCCGATGTCCCTGTTCCTTCCGAGGAGCCCATCGCTGAGCCTGCTGATGAATGGGCTGAGCTCACGACAACAAAAAAGGGCAAGAAGAACAAGAAGAAGGGCAAAGGTTTAACCGTTGAGTCCCCTCTGGAGCCCGTTGTCGAGCCTGTGCCCGAAGACGCCGTGGAGCCTGTTACCGCGCCTGTCGTAGAGCCGGAAGCCGTCTCCGAGCCTGCTCCTGAGGTGCAAACGGCTATTGAGACTGAGCTTGTTGCTCCTCTGGATGATGGCTCCCGCAACCTCGATACACTGCCAGCGGAATCGGGCTCACCCGCCGAGGGTCAGTCGTCTGCTGCCGTTGACGGCTGGGCTGATTTCTCTTCTTCCAAGAAAAGCAAGAAGAACAAGAAAAAGACTAAGGCCACGGATGAGCCCGCACCTGCTATTGCGGAGGAGCTGCCCAGAGCGCAAGATGAAATTCGGGAAGCCACTGTGGATGCCGCTGCCGACCCGATCGTGGCGGCCGAACCTACCCCTCTTCTTGAGCAGGAGCCTGTTGTTGATGAGTTCGCCGATCTTGGTTCGAAAAAGAGCAAGAAGAACAAGAAAAAGGCCAAGAGCCTTGTCTCCGTAGAGCCCGAGATAACGGCAGAGCTCCAATCGGAGCCCGCTGACGACGCTGTCGATTCGACTGCCATTGAGCCATCTTCTACCCTTTCAGATCCAGCGACTGTACTTGAGGATATTCCTGTCATTGAGTCGAGCATGCCTCTCGACCAAGATGCGATCGCTGCCGCGGATGAGTGGGCTGACTTTGGCACCAAGAAGAACAAGAAGGGCAAGAAGAGCAAAGGCGTTACTTTTGACGACGCCGAGCTCCCCCCCACGACCGACGTCACTGAGCCCTCTCGCGATATTGGCTCCGCCGAGCCTGGTCTTCCAGTGGATGACAACTTGGCCGAAGCGACAGCCATTCCTGAAGCCGAAGTTGAGCCCGTCACTGAGGCTGAGGTGCCCACAACTACGAATGATGAGTTGGCTGATTCCGGCTCCAAGAACAGCAAGAAGAAGAAGAAGAAGGGCAATTCTGTTGCTTTCGACGAACCAGAGACCACTGTCGAAACCGCTTCCGAGCCTGTCGTCACCCAGGATGAGCTTGTCCTTCCTTCGGAACCTACTCCTATCGAAACCCCGATTTTGCCGCAAGAGGTCGAAGTCTCTACCGAGCAAGCATCCCTTACCGAGCAAGCATCCCTTACCGAGCAAGCATCCCTTACCGAGCAAGCATCTTCCGCACCTGTCGACGAATGGAACGACTTTGGCAGCACCAAAAAGAGCAAGAAAAAGAAGAAGGGCAAGGGCAGTGTTCTTGACGGGCTTGAGCCTGCCACCAGTGCTCCTCTGGAAGCACCTTCGGAAGCTGCCATTGACACTCAAGCCGTTCCTGATTCCGTTGAGTCGACTGTCGCCGAAGACATCACTGCAGAGCTTCTTGCTGTTATTCCTGACGAAACGGAGGCTTCGACGCCCGTGGACGACTGGGCTGCTGGCAGCACTAAGAAAAGTAAGAAGGGCAAGAAGAAGGCCAAGGGTTCTGCTTTCGATGAACCCGAGCCGCTTCTCGAACCTGTTGTTGAAGCAACACCCGACGTCATCGTCGAGGCCCCGGTTGAGGTTGACCCTGTCCCAGCTGCTGAGCCGGAGGTTGCCAACCCCGTTGATGAATGGGCTGAGAGCAGCAACAAGAAAAGCAAGAAGGACAAGAAGAAGAAGCGTCAAAGCGCAGCCTGGGACGATCCCGAACCTAGCACCCCCGCTTCAACTGAGAGCCCTGCTCATCAAGAAGAGCCAGTCGTTGTTGACGCTCCTCGCGACCTCTCCATTGAGGCGGAACACGTCACGGCATCCAGCGATCTGCCTGCTGCTCAAACCAAGGAGGTCCAGGAGGCTATCCCTGCTTCCAGCGAACCTAGTGTCGAAGAAGTCGTCGACAAGACCATCGAGGAGGTTGTGTCTTCACAAGAAACCCCGCAGTCTGTCGAAGAGCCTGCAGAAGACCCCGCAAATGTCTCCTCTGTCAAAAAGTCCAAAAAGGACAAGAAAAAGAAGCGTGATAGCCTCGCTCAGTTTGACGATGCGCCACAGCCCGTCCAAGAAGACGCCGTGCCCACGCCCCAAGAAGAGCCCGTCTTTGATACGGCAATTAGCGAGGACCCAGCCGTCGTACCTGAAGTTGTCGAAGAACCCTTCGCCGACTCGTTCTCCAGCAAGAAGTCAAAGAAGGATAAGAAGAAGGCCAAGAGGCATTCTCTTATGATGGATTCCGAGCCGGCCACCCCCGCCGAAAGCCCTATGGCTATCGAAGAAGCACCAACGACCTATGCTGAGACGCCTATCGTCGAGGAGCAGCAGGCCGATATCGCGGAGACGCCCGCTGCTGCTGAGGCTGAGCCTTCCATTGTTGCTAAAGATGTTAAGCCCATCGATCTTGAACTACCTGCAGTCGTCCCGGGGGCTGTCGAAGACAAAGCGATCGATCAGCCTCTCGAGCCGGTACAGGCTGTCGACGACGACGCTGACTGGGGTGTCTTTACCGTCCCCAGCAAGAAGTCTAAGAAGGGCAAGAAAGGGAAGGCCTCCGCCGATACGTCAGAGCCTGTGTCACGAGCATTGTCACCTTCTCGTGAATTGGACTCTGCCGCCCTTTCTTCTGTGATCGAAGGGCCTGAAGCTGTGCCCGAATTTGTGCCAGAGATCAGTGAGCCTGCATTTGAAGAACCTGCACCACAGCCCGAGCCTGTCATTGATGACGAGTGGGCCTTGCCTACGAAGAAAAAGAAGGGCAAGAAAGCCAAAGCAGCCGCAGTCTTGGATGTGGATAGTCGAGAAACCAGCCTCCCAGTCGAGTCCCCTGCTCTCGATGAAGTACCATCCACTGCACCTGAAGTTGTCGACATCACTGAAGCGACCGAGCAGGCCCCTGTACCAGTTGAGCCAGTTCTTGCCGAGCCATCGGGTGAACCTGAGCCCGTGGCTGAAGATGAGTGGGCTCTGCCTTCATCCAAGAAGAAGAAGAAGGGCAAGAAGGGTCAGGCTGCCGAGACGGACGTTTCTGAGCCGGCCGATGTCACTGCAGTCGATGTGGCTACAATCGAAACTCCGACTGCCACTAGAGAAGCTGACGTGGTTGAACCCATCGCTCCGACTGCCACTACAGAAGCTGACGTGGTTGAGCCCATCGAGCCCAGTTGCGACAGCCCGGCACCTGTTGAAGTCATTCCTGCCGAGCCATCGGGCGAGCCAGAGCCCGTGGTCGAAGACGAGTGGGCTGCCCCTTCATCCAAGAAAAAGAAGAAGGGTAAGAAGGGCAAGACGGCTGCATTTGAAGACGCGGAGCCTACTTCTCGTGCTCTGTCTCCCGTTCAGGACATTGTTATTCCGCCAATGCCTGAGGTTGAGCAGACTGAACCCGCCACCGATGCAATTGTTGACTTGCCCGCGTTGGTGCCCGAGCCTGTCGTCGAGGACGAGTGGGCGCCGACGCCGAAGAAGAAGAAGGGCAAGAAAAACAAAGGCGCTGCCAGCTTTGACAGTCCCCAGCCCACGTCCCGCGCCATGTCGCCTGTGCAAGACATCAGCCTGCCAGCTCCATCCGAGACTGATATACCTGTGAACACCCCGGCGGCCGAACCTGAGCCTATTGTCGAGGCCCCGATGGCTGATGTTGAGCCCATCGGCGAAGATGAATGGACGCCGCCGGCATCCAAGAAGAAGAAGGGGAAGAAGGGAAAGGCTGCGGCAGTTTTCGACGTTTCGGAGCCTGTGTCTCGCGCCGTGTCCCCCACGCATGCTGCGAGCTCCGACGCTTTCGAGAACGCCGAGGCTCGGAACGTGGAAACGATCGCTTCGTCCGAGACTCCTGCACCCATCGACGAGACTCTCGCACACGTCGAATCAGCTCCCACGGAGGACGAATGGGCGCTTCCCGCAACGACCAAGAAGGGCAAGAAGGGCAAGAAGAACAAGGCTGCTGCAATTCTTGCTGAGGCTGAACCTCAACCAGAGCCCATGTCGGCTGCCCCTGCAGATGACGTGCAGGTCGACGATGTCATGGCCGAGCCCACACCCTTTGACTCAGCTCCTGGTCAGCCCGAGCCCGCTGACGACACTTGGGGCGCAACGCCCTCCAAGAAGTCGAAGAAGGACAAGAAGCGCGGCAAGGGCTTGTCAGCGTCCCGTGAGCTGTCGCCTGCCCGCGAGGAGCCCGTTCTCGAACGTACCGAAGAGCCTATTTCTTCACCGCCAGCCACACCCAAGGCAGAAGACACATGGGATGCTCCCACTTCTTCGAAGAAGAACAAGAAAGGCAAGAAGGCTAACAAGCGCATGCCGGTTGGCTTCGAGGAGTCGTCCCCCAGTGACAGCCAAACACCCACTGAAGCGCCTCGACGGAGTCCCTCGTCGTCGTCCTACTGGGGCGAGCTTGGTGCGGCTGCGATTGTTGGCGCCACTGCCACTGCCGCTGTGGCCGCCCTCACTGGCAAAGAAGAAGGCGACCCACGCGACATCGAGCCGGTCGAGAGCTCTCGCGATGTCGGCGATACGTATCTTGAGGGCGGTCTGGATGCAGGCCCGGGACCGGTCGAAGCGGCAGCCGCCGACGACGACGACGATGGCTTTGGTTTCACTTCAGGAATCACTGGCGAAGAGCAGTCGGGCTACTGGAACAACCAGGCAGCAGAAGAGATGTTCGATGTCTGGGAGGAGGCCCAGCCGGAGGCCACTCCTACCAAGAGCCAAGTGACATCGTCTCCGGATGCTGCCAAGGAGGAGACCTTCGGGATCACCATGAGCGAGATCGCCTCTCCTACTGCCAGCAAGGTCGGTACGCCCAAGTCTGCTGTCGGTAAGAAGAAGAAGGGCAAGAGCAAAAAGTCCAAGTACGAAGACAAGAAGCCGGGCGGTGGTGATGATGACCCCTTTGACGACCCCATCTTATGGGAGGGAGCGGATAAGAAGCATGTGAGTGAGATTGCCAGCTTCGAGGTTGAGAAGTTCTGGGGCAGCGGTCCAGAGGCGTCGAAAGATGTGCCTGCCGCGGTGGTAGACGAGGAGACAGTGGAGGACGGTGAGCGTTTACTGGAGACGGATGACAAACCGATGGTGCAGGAAGCTGTACACGCAGCCGTGGTGGAGGACACTATGGAGGGCGTAGCGATTGCCCCGGTACTGGACACGAAGGAGAACGAGCCTGTCAGCATTTCATCACGGGCACTGCAACTCAAGGAGGCGGACGACAATGACTACAATGCCGAGAGCCCTGTGCTCGGCCGCGGCCCCTCACACGACGAGGCACTCGCGACGACGAGATCGGTGGCCAAGGACGAACCCCAGCCTGTGGCATCGGAGCTGGTTCGACAGAGCATCGAGACAGACATTGACGAGGCTGTCGACCGGGGGTTCGAGGCAGAGCAGCGCAGAGACTTCTCAGAAGCCACGCCAACAGACACTTACATGCCGGCTTTCGAGCCGACGACGGACTTCCGACGGTCGGTCTCGCGAGGCCTGCCGCCCGTGCAAGAAGAGACGTACGACGAGGAGGAGACGGGCGAAGAGCGCGGGCGCGGGCGACAGAGCTTCACGGCAGCGACACCAGTAACGCCCGAGGTCAACCGAGACAGCGGCTTCATGAGTGACTCTTCGCACCGGCGCTCTTCACGAAAGACCAAGGTCGTCGTCGAGCAAGACAACCGAGACAGCGGCGTGCATCTACGAGAGGATGAAGACGGTTCACGCGATGTGGCACGCAGCCCCGAGCCCGGCTGGTCGACGCCCAAGAACCGTAGCATTACGGTACCGGAGGAGAGCTCGTCCAGGAGACTCCGACGGTCGCCGCTGTCCAAGGGCGAGCTGCGCGAGCGGGACCATCCCATGACCAAGACACCAGTGCTGCGCGAGCCCAGCCCACGCGACGTCACGCCCGAGCCTTACAAGACGAGGCGCCACAAGTCACCGGAGCGCGGCGTCGGCGGCGACGACAACAAGAGGTCGAGATACCGCGACCTGAGCGCGGGCACGTCGGACGCAGGCGCAACTCTCTCGCGTGCGTCGGCCTTGACGCCGACAGGCACAGCAGTGAGCCGACGAAGCGTCTCTGACCATGTGACGCGCATTCAATCACCGGCGCTGGGACCGGAGAGCAGCATGGTCAGCAGCTCTGTGGGTGGAGGGGCTCTGGCACGACGATCAGCGTCCAACACCAGCCTCTCGCTTTCCACATCGCGTCACAGAACGCACACGCCCGAGCCGCTCACGCTCCGGCCAGACAGTCCAGGCTCTGTCGTCTCTGCCTCAGGCATCTTCAACCGTCAGGCATCAGCCACACCGCCCTTGAGGCGGGTGGACAAGCGTGTGAGTGGAGACCTCCGATCTCTTCGCCAACGCAGCGAGCTCGACCTGGCTGCAGCATCTCCCGGCGGTAGCGCCAGTGGGAGCCCGAGGAGCTCTGGCACCAGCACGAGCCCCGCTGCAGGTGGTGCAGGTGGTGCTGGCGCAGCTGTGCTCGCCGTCGCCGGTGTGGCCGCCGCCGCCGCTGCTGCTGCTGCTGCTGGCGCTGCCTCGAGCTCTTCTTCCTCTCAGCCCAACAACAACAACAACTCCTCCACCGCCAAACCCAAACCTGACCACGACAAGACCAAGTCCAACACCCCCGTGGCCAACGAGGGCCGTGTCCGTTCCAAGGACATGCCTGACGTCTATGTAAGTTTGAGCCTCTCTCTCTTTCTTTCTCTCTCTCTCTTGCTTTCTTTGTTCCCTCCTCCCGCATTCCACTCCTCCCGCATTCCCGCCCGCCGCCCCCCACGGGCCCAAAACCTAAACTAACCTTTGTCTTCTTCTCCCCCCGCACAGGATGGCTTCGGTGAGGGCCGTCTCGGCTCACCTAGATCACCCACGAGACCTCACTCGATGCGACGTCGCCAGAGCATGCAGGTTCTCGAACTCGAATCCCGTCTTGAGCAATTGACCGCCGAAAACCGCATGCTCGCCGAGGCCAACGCCAATGCCGGCCACAACACGACGCGCTCTGCCAACCCAGCTGCCCTCGCGGAACGCGACGCCCAGATCGACCAGCTCAAGCAGTCGCTCGACTTTCTGCAAAAAGAGGTCGCGCGATTGACCGAAGTCAACGATGGCCTCAACAGCGCCAACTCGCAATTGGCGTCTCAGCACAACGAGACGTCGCGCGCTCTCGAGACGTCGCGGACCGCCTACGACAACTACGGCGACTCGCTGCACCAGAAAGATGCCGAGATTGAGCGCCTGCGCGCCGAGCTCGAGGCCGCTAAGGAGCAGGTCCGCGAGATGCAGCGTCAGATCCTCGCCACCAAGGGCGCCACTGGCGGCGACTTCCTGCGCATCCAAGACGTCGACCACTTCGACCACCGCTGTCAGCAGCTCTGCTCCCACGCCCAGCAGTGGGTGCTTCGCTTCTCCAAGTTTTCCGACATGCGCGCCTGCCGCCTGACCAACGAGATCAATGACGAAAAGGTCATTGACCGCCTCGACAATGCCGTCCTCGACGGCTCCGACGTCGACAGGTACCTCGCCGACCGCGTCAAGCGTCGCGACATCTTCATGTCCATGACCATGAACATGATCTGGGAGTTTGTCTTTACCCGCTACCTCTTCGGCATGGACCGCGAGCAGCGCCAGAAGCTCAAGTCGCTCGAGAAGCTCCTCACCGACGTCGGCCCACCCCAGGCCGTCCGCCAGTGGCGCGCCGTCACCCTGACGCTCCTCGCCCGCCGCGCCAGCTTCAAGGAGCAGCGCGACCTCGACACCGAGGCCGTCGTCCAGGCCATCATCCACACCCTCTCCACCGTCCTGCCCCCGCCCTCCAACATGGAGGCCCAGATCCAGTCCCAGCTGCGCCGCGTCATGCGCGAGGCCGTCGATCTCTCCATCGAGATGCGCACCCAACGCGCCGAGTACATGATGCTGCCCCCACTGCAGCCCACCTACGACGAGAATGGCGAGCTCGCCGAGACGGTCACCTTCAACGCCTCTCTCATGAATGAACGCAGCAGCGATGGCTCCGTCTCCAACGAGGACCTCGAGTCCCAATCCGCCGTCGTGCGCGTCGTTCTGTTCCCTCTCGTCGTCAAGAAGGGCGACGACACGGGCGACGGCGATGAGGAAATCGTCGTCTGCCCCGCCCAGGTTCTTGTCGCCCGCAACCACGACAAGCGCCGCTCCCTCTCGGGCAACGCCGGCCGTCTGCTGACGCCCTCAAGCGACGCCGGCGGGGCCGCCCTGTCCTACACGAACCGCAGCGACATCAGCATGCGCACCGACGGCACCTACAACCCGCAGCAGGCTCGCACCCCCGAGGCCGAGTACTTTGCCGGCGGCATCTGATGGATGCCTTGAACGGGATGAGGGAAGAGCCCCCTCTCTTCCCTCACAAAAAAAAACAAACAAAAGGAGAGACGGGAAGAAGATCGTTGAGATGACGATGATTTCTGTATTATGATATCCCGGGTGTCTTTTGGATGAATGCCTTTTTTGCCGCATTTCTTTCACTACTTCGTTTTGGAGTCTTGTTTTTTTGTTTACCAGGGCATGCCTGCCTGGTCACACTATTCTGTGTTTTCCTTTCTCTTCTCGTTTTGAGTGGTGTGTTATCGCTTGGGGTTTAGTTCTCTTTTGGAAGTTGTATCATTGTCGACAAAGATGCGCATGATAGATTTGCGCCTAATGAATCATGACCTGTTCACTCTGGCTGTCGTTCTAGAAATCTGATTTCAGTGATGTGGTGTCGGTGATGTGGCTTTCATGATGCGAATCCAAGCATGTGAATCGGTCCTTCGGTGAAACGCGAACAGAGGCTGAACGGTACCGTCTATATTCTGCCAGTAGTGTTCCGGCACGGGTATATGGTATATGGTCCTAACATCAACATACATGTCTGTCCGTGGCACCCCCCCCCCCCCCCGACTAAGGTCTCCCCAAGTCGGCATTTCTCCGCCTCCACATCTCCAGCACGCGCCCCGTCTTCTCCGCCTGCTCAACCCCAAGCCTGCGCTGCGTCAGGTCGAGCGCCCAGTTGAGCCTCGCCGTCCGCCCGGGCTCGCCCCTCTTGAGGTCCCGCACCGCGACCCGGACGACGGCCTCGAGCCCCGCCGCCGGCAGCGTCAGGCCCTGCGCCGCGAGCCAGGCGTTGCAGCGCGAGACGTGCCGCAGCGCCGCGCGGTCCGAGAGGTGCGACGCGCGCGAGAACCAGACGGCCATGTCGGCGACGAGCTTTTGCTTCGTGCGGAGGCGGAGCTCGGCCGAGCGCTTCGAGCGCATCATGTTGGTGGTGGTGGTGGTGTTTTGTTGGTGGTGATGGCGGCGCGCGCGCTCCGCGGGCGATTCCGAGTGGAGGACTTCCCAGACGAGGTTGGGGTCCACGTCCGCGTCGAGGATCATGGGTTTGATATACGGGTGCCAGTCGTTCCAGGACCATGTGCGGAGTGCCGCCGGCCTGTTGGTGCCGCGGTGGCGTTTCATGAGCTCGTACATGGCTGTCGCTATTCTGTGGTCCTTGCTGGCGAGGGCGATGGCTCTGAAGCCCACTTCGCTGAGGCTGTTGCTGTTGCTGCTCTGGCGCGTGCGGCAGTACTTGTCAAAGGAGGCGAGAAAGCCGTCGATCATGTCGAGGCGGCGCAGCGCGCGGAAGAGGCTCATGAGAAGGCCAATGCGGTGGCTGCCGCCGTCGCCGGGGTGTTCGAGGGTGCCAATGTGCCAGGCGAGGGAGCTCATACTCAGTTCCTGGTCGGTGCTGGCTTCACGCTTCCATGCGCTCTGCACCTGTCGCGCGTTGCGCAGGTAGCCGCGGCTTTGCCACTGCTGGAGGAGGAGTTTGCTGAGGTCATGCGCGGGTGCTGATGAAGATGCTTGGCCAAACATGGAGGAGCGAGAGCATGCTTCGAGGAGGAAGGTCGTGTCGACCTGAGGCATCCTGGCGAGAATGTCAAGCCACCGTAGGCGACGGCCATGAACGATATGTGACCCTTCATGACGCATGGCGACAGATTCCATGCCGGCGAGCAGTGCGGTGTGTTCTTGGGGCGATATTCTGGCTAGGGCGTTTGCCATCAGCGGTGCCGACGCTTCGTATGCCCGCGCAGGAGCGGCGAGCCATGTCTGCAACGCCGCGTGTAGACCTTCTCCCAGGCGATTCATGTGCTGGTCCGGCACGACGGTAAGGATGGTGCAAATTAGTTCGGCACTGGCCCTGCTGGCCGGCAGCTCAGAAACCCGACGAAGTAGTGTGTTGCAGAGGTGGGGGCTGGCCTCGGCGAGACCCTGAACTCTCGAGTACGCCATGCCTTTGATGATAGCTGAGAGCAATGCAGTGGTGGCAGAACGCGCGACCTGCGGATCTTGCCGGGCCGCTACAATGGTAGCCGTGAAAGAAGAAAGGGCTTTTGGTATGGCTTCCAAGGTGAGCAGCCCCAGGTAGATGTCATGTTGGAGGCGGTCCATTGCGAGACGGAAATCGGGATCGAGCTTGGCCAATGATTTCAGCAACGCCTCACGCGTCTCCTCGAGCCTCTCGGAAAAGTCATCAGAAGGCTGCAGCACATCATCGTACTCTTGTCTCGGGTAGTCAACGGCTTCCTCGGCGGGGAGCAGCTGATCCATCCACGTGAGCAGAGACCACGACTTGGGCGGTGGCGACTCCTCCATTCTCAGCCGAGACGCAAGCTCCGTAGGCGGGGACCACTTCCACTGCGTCAGGTCGGCAGGAAACTCGATGAGCCATGGCGGCAGCGTGGGCTGGAAGTCTGCCGAGTAGAGCCCTGTGATCCTCCTCTTGCCGAGTCTCTTGCGGTTCTCCAAGGGCCCAGGCACAGAGCTCGAATTGCGACGCGAGAGCCTCGAAGCGTGGCAGTATCGCTCAAAGGCACTGGCGAGGACGCTGTCGGTGATCCAGACATTGTCGAGGGGGGCGCGGAGGTGTTTTACGGCTCGGCAGCATCGCGCTGTCGGTCGGGTCGGCATTGGAGCCGTTGTGTGGAGAACGTTTCGGTTGCTTGAGATACCATGTGTCGTCACGGCGTTTCCATGGCCAATTGGGTATATTAGACAGTCGACGAGAGGTGATGGCGTCGATGGATACAGATGGGTGGTGTGGTTGATTGTGTGTGCAAGAGGTGGATTTCTGTAGAGTCGGAGACGAGGCTGACGCGACAAATTGGAGCTCTGCTATTGGTATGGTCAAGCCACAGTATCCCCACATATTTGCCCTCCTGGTTGCCGATGCACCAGCCACGCGTCATGAGCCAACAGGGTTGTGGCTTGCGTCTGTCGACCAGCCGAGCTGCGTCGGCCCCGCGGCGTTGAGTTTGGCGGGGAACAAAGAACGGACGAGACGGTCAGCCTGGCCGTCCACTCAGTCATGCTCAGCTCAGCGGACAATGCCGACAGGTCGACAGGTCGTGATGGCGGGGCACTCTGGAAGACTTATGCTTTTCTATTTCCCCCCCTCCCGCGCGCCACCTGTCCTACACCAACAACTCCCCGCTCACGATCACCGACAAGATGCCTCACGACTTCCCCCCTCTGAAGAATGACCTGCTGCTGCGGGCAGCACGCGGTATGTGCGAGGCGTCCCGATGCGAATCGCATCGCATGTGAAGCCGCGATCCGCCCACTAACACGAACGAACAGGTGAGGTCGTTGAGCGACCCCCCTGCTGGATCATGCGACAAGGTGAGCTTCTCTCCGATCCTTTCCCCTCCAAAGAAGCAATGCACCTCGGCTCTCATGCTGACGGGATGACTCTCCAGCCGGCCGCTATCTCCCCGAGTACCACGAAGCGAAGGGCACCAATGACTTCTTCGCGTGCTGTCGCTCTCCCGAGATCGCCTCGACCCTGACGCTCCAGCCGATCGACCGCTTCGACGGCCTCCTCGATGCGGCCATCATCTTCAGCGACATCCTCGTCATCCCGCAGGCGCTCGGCATGACGGTCGAGATGGTCGACAAGAAGGGTCCGCACTTTCCCAGCCCCCTCACGGGGCCCGAGGACCCCCAGTACGCCTCGGTCATGGCCGTCGACCTGCCGACGGCGGCGGCCGAGCTCGACTACGTCTACAAGGCCATCACGATGACGCGGCACAAGCTCGCCGGCCGCGTGCCCCTCATCGGCTTCTGCGGCGCCCCCTGGACGCTGCTCTGCTACATGGTCGAGGGCGGCGGCACCAAGCTCTTCATCCAGTCCAAGAAGTGGGTGTACCGCCACGCCGACGCCGCGCGCGCCCTGCTCCAGAAGATCGCCGACCTCTGCGTCGAGTATCTGGCGCTGCAGGTCCAGGCCGGCGCCCAGGCCGTCATGGTCTTCGACAGCTGGGCCGGCGAGCTCGGCCCCCGCGAGTTCGCCCGCTTCAGCGAGCCCTACCTCGCCCACATTGCCGCCCACCTGCCCGCCAAGCTGCGCAGCCTCGGCCTCGACCCCGTGCCCATGACCGTCTTCCCCAAGGGCGCCTGGCACGCCCTCGGCCGCGCCTGCGACCTCGGCTACGACGCCGTCGGCATCGACTGGATGCAGGACCCCGCCGAGGCCGTCCGTATCCGCGGCGACCGCCGTGTCGCGCTGCAGGGCAATGCCGACCCCGGCGTGCTGTACGGCACCAAGGAGGAGATGACGCGCGCCGCCCAGGTCATGGTCGACGGCTTCTGGAAGGAGAAGAAGGGCTGGATCTGCAACCTCGGACACGGTACGCCCCCCCCACTATTCTCCCACGCATCACTGACAGACGTACAGGCATCACACCCGGCGTCAACCCAGATGATCTCAAGTTCTTCCTCTCGGAAGTCCACCGCTTGACGCAGCAGTAGATGTGGAGAGAGAGGGAGGGAGAGGGAGTAGGACAATAAATCGGTCGTTAGAGGGTTCAAGGCACAGCGACGAAGTAGATTACTACGAGGAGTAGCAGGGTACAATCAAAATAAACAAAGGCAGACACACATAGCGGCGCATGAAAACTAAGGGTATTCTCGTCTTATCATAGAGTTGCCGTCCTCGAGAATAAAGAAGAGAAGGAGGGGCACAATCGCAACTCCATAAACAATAGGGACAAGCCCGCGGACACTACGTGTTCAACTGTCACGACCGCATATTTCCGTATGTGAGAAGGAGCGCACAATGTTGGAGGAATGGTTTCAATTCAAGTCATGTTGATTCATTTCCTCTCCATCACAAGACCAGGGCGAGGTTTGCTATAAAAATAAAACAGTGGTATCTGAACTTTTGTGTTTTCGTGGATCCGACGCGGGGAATGACCCATCATTCGTCATGAGAGTCCCCAATCCAACCCTCCGAAACTCCAGCGCACAGACAGTAAAAATGTTGGAAAAAGAGAAAGTCGTGATGATGATAACATGTAGCAGAGGGGGTATCTCCGCGATTTGATGAGAGAACCGGACCACAAAAGGTGTCCCGGTTGATGATGCTGCGCCGATTTTTGTTGTTGAATATGTATCCATGTTGGAGACGCCAATGAGCCAGTCGAGAGATGAGAGCCGCTGAGCAGTATTGAGATGGACAAGCCAGAAAAAGACAAAAGTCGACAAGTTGATCATGATGCATCAATGATGCCAACAGCGACCAAGCTTATGCCTTCTTGCCAGTGATGCTGTTGAGCCACGCCTTGCCCTTGGCAGCGAGCTCGGCAGACGAGCGCCTGCGCTTGTGGCTCGAGGAATCATCGTCATCAATGGCGTTCTCGATGGCAGCGGCCTTCTGGAGGGCGGCGTTGTCCTCCTTGAAGATGTTGGCGGCACCGCCACGGCCGTAGTGGGCAGCACCAGAGGAGGTGCGGCGGGGGGCACCCTCGACGTCCTGGCGCAGGCGAGTCTCGTAGGGGTCGTCGTTCTTGAGCATGTTGCCAGTGCCACCACGGCCAGTGGTAACGACGGAGGACTTGAGAGTAGGGGTCTGGAGGTCCTTGGTGGTGAGCTTGTCAAACTTGGAGCTGTTGGCAATGTTGCCAGCGCCGCCGCGACCGTGAGAGACGAGCATGTTGTTTGAGGTTTGGTGATTGTGGGTATTGTGTTGCGGGTTGGGGTTGTGCAGTGTGCGAGATGAAGATCGTGAGTCAATGATGTTGAGCTTCACAACGAGTAGTGCTTAATTTGGCGGGGTAATCGAAGAGGTAGGTTTCGAATGTTTCCTGTTTATGAGCTTGATGGGCCAGAGCAGTTCGTCGGAGGGGAACAAAGGGACAAGAGGTTATATACCAGGACGAAGCTCTGGGTACCTCGCCTCGTGGTCAGACAACGGTCTGGGCACGTACCTTGGAGAGCTCTGCCAGGCGCTTGAGCTTGCCCCTCACCTTCCCCCGGATACATCGCGACCAAGCTTTTGGATGGTCACAAGGACACCGAAAGTTTTTTTTTTTTCATTCCCTTTTGCCCTTGGCTTTCCCCCCTCGTACACCCCCTGGGCCCTCTGACTGTTCTGATTTCAGCATAGCCTGCAGTCGAGTCTCCACCGATGGCATCAACGGGGTCAGAAGTGTGCAAAGACCAAGGCGCTGGGACCCAAACGGAAACCATTGCCTAAGACAAACGTAATGAAAACAATGCTAGCCAGCCGTCGGGGCCACACGCGCACCCTCTAGACGCTCGCGCCATCGCCCTACCCGGCCCCGTCATGGCTACCATGATGGCTTGCCGTAGTACTTCGTCGCCCATGGATGGGTCGTGGCTCCCCTCAGGCTCCTTGATTGGGGGGTGGCCTTTGCACCCGTATGGTCCAGCGTCACTTGATCGCGTTCTCAGACAAAAGGTGCATCGCCTCGTTGTTTCTGTTGTGTTGTCTCGCCCCCGAGTTGGCGAATGTACCAGAAATTGACCAGAAGGTACGAGCTTGGCACTGCACAACCGGCAATGCCTACACTGCGCCTGGCTATGATGAGCCTGGCCAAGCCCATGATGTAAACCAAGCTGTGCTCGTTTTCTTGCGGCCGCCTTGGGCCCCCCCGGGAACAATCCTGCACCTTTGCGGTCACCTGCTGTGTGTTGCGTGCTGAATTGAGTGCTTGGGTGACTCTTGGCACCGCTGCGTCGCCCCGTCGCTAGGCGCTTCGCATCGCAGCTGCTCGTCTTCCCCACCGCTAATGAGTGAACAGGGAGAAAAATTCAACTTGCCCATTCCCTATGAGGCTGGACCAGAAAAACAGCCAGACTAGACCGAGCGAGCAATACCAGCCGTTTGCATGACAACGTGACCATGTGTCGGCCGGCTCCTGACGAGGGCCCAGATTAAGCTTAGATGCGGGCGCTGCGAAACAGTTCAGGTGGTCTTGGAAGAGCTCTGGTGACCTCTCCTGCCGATCGTGCATTCCGCCGTGGTCTTCCAACGGCAGCGTATTACCGATGACTCTCAGGGGTAGAGACGACGTGTCCCTCGCGAATCCCGCTCCCAATGAATGTGTGTCCTTGTGACGCGCCATTGCGCCGCGGCACTGCCCAGTTGTGTGAGACCATCTGGTGGCGCAACCATGCAACACGTCTCTCTGCCATGCTGCGTTGACCTTGGAGATGAGCAGCACGCCAGCAGCACGCCATTCGCCTGGCTCCTGGTGACGAAATGAGTGTCTGGCAGTTGTTGTGCGGTGACAGGTAGCCCTGGTGTGTGTGCCGGTCTGGTGGTGGTCCCGGCCCGGCGTGTTCCCACAGCGTCCTGACACTAAAAATTGACGAGACCTGCACCCCGGATTTTTGATCCTGGGCGGCTTCGACTGTCGCAGGGAAGAAAAGTCTAGCGCGTCTGGGTCGCCAAGAGAACTGTTGATCTCCCTTCAATCCTTGTGACCTGCTGAGTCCTGCCGCCTGATCAGGCGGCCCACAATAGCGCAAAATTTGCCTGTGTTGTGAAGTGGCAATGGGGCAATGCCTGGCGGCAGATGCCCTGCCGTTCGAGCACCGGCGAATGAAGTCACGAGAGCTGCTCCGCGGGATGCTCAATAATTCAGTAGCCGAGGACAGTTGAGGCGGCTGCAGTGCGCCGAATGGTTTCTGGAAGGACGCCTGGTCTGCTGAGGGCTGAACGAGTAACGACCGACCCGAAGGAGACACGATAGACTGCATCTGTTCCAAAAGCCCCTGAGCTTGTGAACTGGACAGTGACTTCTTCTGGTGAGCACCCCGCAACTGGGACGTCACAGGGTCGAAAACTCTGACTTTGCGCTCGTGGCTTGGCAGTGGAGGACTGCCAAGACTGTTTGCAGTGGCTTCTCGGCCATTCTCCCTGTCCAGGAACAAGCTTCGCTAAATCCGGTGCCCACTTTAAGATCAATGGCCTGGTGGAGATGGCTAGTTTTCCTCAACGCTGTTGATGTGTCTCGGCCGTTCGATCTGCCGAGAAGGAACAATTCCAGTGCACACGAAACGAAGGGGGTGAAGAAAAGAAGAAAAGAAGAAAGGAGAGGAGACTCAAAACAGTTGATGCCAAGACGCTGGTCGCCTTCGTAGGCACGGGACGGAGATTCGCATGTACAGAAGACTGCAATAATGCCTGAGACGGTGACCGAATCGAGCCCTTTCCGTCTCGCCCCTCGTCCTGAACCACTTTGGGTATGAGACAGGTGTCGAACGACCAACATACCCGTTGGGTGTCCATGCGATCACTATTGGAAACAATAAGAGCCGGTGCCTTAGAATGGAGCAAGCTGGAGAAGCGTCTTCAGAGAAAGGCTAGAAAAGAGTGAATTGAAGGAGCATGCAAGGCAGCACGGGCCGGGCCCCGTGGCTGGACCGCGTTCCGCTATATGTTGGGCTGGGAGAGAGGTGCGCGATGAAGTAGACGAGTCATTGTCACAGAAAATTGCGAAACCCAATTGCGAAACCCTTGGCATCATGGACATTCTTTGTACTCGAGTAGCATCGGCACATACTGCAGGTCGTCTTGAAAAGCTCCGAGATCGATTAGACGGAGCCCTGGCGATGATCAGAATGGTGGTCTCAGTGTAGGGCTTATAGGTGTCCGAATTGGGCCGTCGATCATCGAAGGAGAGGAGTCTTTCCAAGGGTTGCCTCAAAGGTCAGCTTCCGCTGCATAGCAAGCAGGTATATGTAGGTTGGTCCTGCAGGTACCTCAATACGATGCGCGCCTCATTCACCTGGCGTGTAGGGTGGTAGACTGACCCCTACCAATACTTCACCGAGCACCGAGAGTCGAGCAAAGCTGGTTCCAGCGGAAAGAGTCTCCAATGTGAAGGAGACAGGAAATCCATATGATCTCATCAAATGCGAGGTGACACGTTGATGGTGGGAATCCCCCGGCGCATGGCATCAGACTGGTGGCTAAAATAGGGTCGTTGAGACACTGTTCGGAGCATATCAGGGTGGGCCAGGAGCAATCAGAAGCCTTCCAGTGGCCTCGACAGGAAGGCTGCATGAGCCACGGCTTTGCGCCAGCCATCCCATTCGACGATCGTCTGACCGGCTGTGGCGAGCCCTGGCACCCGAGCTCTAGTGACAGCTGTCTGACTGTGTGGTCCTCGTCCTGAAAAGGGAAGGCGTCCAATAAAGGAGCATGCTTGCCATCTGTGACACCCGACCCGGCCGAGTGGCCGAATGCATGATTGTCCCTCTCTGGTCTTTGGGGGTGAGGAGTCGGGCACTTTATGCCGAGTGGTAAGGCTTTTGTCCCAAGTGTGTCGATTCCGTCGTCATGATGGCTGGGCGACGCGCTGTGTGAAGTGGCCGACGCCGAGGATGGTTGGGGGTCTGGCTCGTCGTCGCAGATCGGGGGCCAACCGTTCAGGTGCACCAAATGACACGCCACCCGTCTTGCGTCCGCTCGGCATACTTGTCAGAGGACGCGCCTGACCCAGCGACCAGGAACAAAACACTCCGAACCGATGCATGGCGGACGGAAGCCGGGGCGCCGTGGTGCCATGTTGTAAGAGGGTGGAGGGTGAGAGGCATGTGTCTTGGTGGAGAGAGCTGTGGCGGGCTGCACGGCTTGCAAAGCGTTGTGAGAGCAGCTCGGTCGCAAGGTGGACGGACAGGTCTCGTCCGACACAGTGACCTTTCTGGCTGTCGAAGGCGAGTGCCTGGGACCGATGCGGACAAGATGGGCGAATAAGCTTTGACGCCATGGACCATGGTCGCGGTAGATGACAGAAGGGCTATGAGACACCAACAGGGAATGCCATGGCCATGGTGTGGGAAGCGAGCGCAATCCTCGTCCCTGATGTGGGATCGCTCAGGGAAGAGGGTGTGTCAGATTCGGGGAGAGCGGTTTGCCAGCACACAGACGGCAAGGCTGCCACCGAAGCAGAGCATGGCGTCGAGTACGCATGGAGGAAAGGTGCCGAAGAGAAGGAGAGAGTTGGTGATGTGTTGCTTCTGGTGGTGTCCTTTGGGTCGTTTGGCGATAAGGACATCAACGAGGCAGGGCAGGTGCCATCGGACGGCCCTGGCTCCCAACCCGTCTCATTCAGTCGATGAGATGAAGCCGGGCGGGAAGGCAAGACCGCGTCGGGGATCGCGGCACGGGAGCTCACTGATCGGATGGCTGGGGAACAGGGGGGGGAGGTCAGGGCCCTGTTAGGTCCTTGGGCCTGTAAACCACGATGGAGGGTCGCTGGGTGTGCTGACAGGGAGCGCTCGAGGCGCTACGCTACGATACCCTGGCGCTCTCAGCCCGGCACTGTGCCATTTTGCAGTGGAGAGACCCCTCTCTGGAGCTCTGGTGTAATGCGCGACGGGAGGTTGATCGCCCGCTGTGGCCGCTATGACCCGCGCTCGCCATGGTAATTGGGTGAGAGGGCCGCCCCCCCACAGAGGCTGCGGGCAGCGCCCGTCATCCACCCAACCTTCAAAGTTCCGCCTTCCATCTAGTCCAGCTCCTCCATCTTTGAGACAGCTGTGCCCAATGCCCATCAGTGTCTGCGTCTACGTCTGCGTCAGTGTCGGCACCTGCACCTACACCTGCACCTGCACCACCTTATCTACCTAAACCGCATGCCTTTTTGTTCTCTTTTTCAACTGGCGCTTCCGCAAGGCTTCACCTTCTCCCTCGTCAGGCGCCCCCTCGCCCTTGGTCTGATGCCCTTCCGCATCACAACCCCGCCTCCATCTTCGAGTCTCCGCAGCCTCTCGGGCCAGTCGGCTAGCCATCGCAACGTCGGAAGTTCACGGCGGATCGATCAAATCAGGCTGAGCCTCAACATCCAACAATTCGAAAGACCAACACCATACCATTCGCCCCTGGATGTGCCTGCTGAAGAAACGAGAGCCAGCCAGCCATAGTACAATCCTGCGTCCCCGTCATCAGGCCGACAGGCGAGCCACCGGAAGCCCTCTCGATCACCTGGGCATTCGTGAAGCTCTCGCAATATTGCCTCCCGCACCATCTCGATAGCGAGCCAACAAGAAACCTACCGCCATCATGAGCTACGACCAGCACCAGCACCTGCAGTCGCATCCTCACCAGCAGCAGCATCCGCAGAACATGGCTCCGAGCTACCACCACTATCCGCCTGCGCCCTCCCACCATGGACCTCCCCAGCATCTCCCGCACGCCCAGCAACAGCATCAATATCCGCCCCCGCAGCAGCACCATCAGCAGCAGTACCAGCACCCCGGCCACCCTTCTGCTCACCCCCAGAACTCTCTGCCCCCGATGCCTCAATACTCGACACACCAAATGCCTCCCCAGATGCAACCGCAGCTCCCTTCGCAGATGCCTCCGCCTGAGATGCCCGGCGGCGCTCCACCCCACCAAGCGCAACTTGTTCCTGAGCCCACGCGCAGCATCGAGCCTGTGTCCAGGAAAGATGAGGGTGGTCGAACATACAAGTACGTTCGCACAGTCAGATGCCCGAGACCTTCCATCAGTGCTGACTCTCAATCCCGTAGGCTCGACGTTGTCCAGCAACCCAAGCGAGCGCGCATGTGCGGCTTTGGTGACAAAGACAGGCGGCCCATTACCCCGCCGCCTTGCGTGCGCTTGATCATCATTGATCCGGATACGGGCAAGGAGATGGACTGCAAGTGCGTAAACGAGATGCAGCCGCCCAAGACCTGTGCGCCCGCATGCTGACATGGCTTCCCGCAGTGAAATCGACCACTCCATGTACGTTCTCAATGTGGACTTGTGGTCCGAGGACGGCCAGCGTGAGGTGAACCTCGTCCGCCACACCAACAGCGCACCCTCTATATCGTCAACGACACCATGCTCCTACACAAACTTGACCGAAAACGCCACGGCTTTCCAGCACATTCTGCCATCCAGCACACCTCATCGCGAACCTCCGCAGTTCCACAGCCCGAACAACATGGGCTATGCGCCGCCCAACGCATCTCCTTATGCCGGAGCTTATGGTATGCCCTCAAACTATCCTCCGTCCTGTAGGTGCTCTCTGGTCAGTGCGGACACAGCATCACGGCTGACGATAACCCAGCTCAATACCCTCTGTCAAACGGTTACGGCCCCGCCCCGCCTTATGGCTATTCAAATGGCGGGATACCCGAGTATGGCCGCACAGAATATGGCCAGAACCAGTTCCAGGCACGCAACTCCATCGGTGGCGCAGGTGCGCCTCAGGGGATGTACACGCGCAATCTCATCGGCAGTCTCGCTGCAAGCGCTTTCAGACTGTCTGATGTGGCAGAACACATTGGCATTTGGTTTATTCTCCAGGATCTGAGTGTCCGAACCGAAGGCAGCTTCCGGTACGTGCATCGAATTTGAGACTCCATCACAGACGATGGACTAACGTCATATTCCAGCCTGCGGTTCTCTTTCGTGAACGTCGGACCACCCACCCGGGCGCCGAGCACGAACCTCTCTAACCCAGGAGCCGTCACCAGGTCCGGCAAGGCACCGATCCTGGCATGCTGCTACAGCGAGCCTTTCACGGTCTTTTCTGCCAAGAAGTTCCCAGGTGTCTGCGAAAGCACGAGCCTCAGCAAGTGTTTCGCCTCTCAGGGCATCAAGATCCCGATTAGAAAGGAAGGCCAGGACAACAAGCGGGGCAAGGATGACGACGATGACGATTATTAAATGACGCGCTGCTCATACAACTGCCCATGTTCTGGTGGTCCCTCATCCACGCAAAGGGGGACGGGGTTTTGGGGTGGTGCGACACCCTTGGACTCTCAAGGCGTCAGTCGAGAAGTTTGGATGATGGCAAACTTCCCACTTGTGGCGAGGGAGGGTAGAAAAGGTGGTCAGTGAGGCCGCAGCGATTTGGCGAGGCCAGGCATGTCTACAGCCGACTTGTCGTGGGTCAGGACGCGACAGTTTCATGCCTTCTCGTGTGGTTGTTGTACTTTTTTTTTCTGCGGGTGTTTAACAGATACCAGGTCTTGATTGTCTCGCGAAAAGCCCTCACAGACGTGATGAATTTACCCCCCCCCTGTTCCGGACCAGATATAGCCCCGTGTTGAGACATGCCAGTTTCTCGTGTGCCTCCCCCTTCCCCCGCAACGGGCCTAACTTGGTTCCCGTGTCTCAGCCATGTCCGTACCAAGCCAGCCCGATGGATCTAGCGTGGCCTTGTTTGTGATACAATAGCTAGGTCCTGGTGCAGCAGGAGAACGGCCGGAAACCCACCGAGGGCCGCCCGCGAGATCGGGAGATGGCAGCCGGCCGGAATCGGGGGCCATGCAAATCCATGGCGTCACGATGTTAAGCTTTCAACCATCAAGGCCTTGCGGGCGCCGTATCGCAGGAGACGTCAGTGTCCTCTTTGCAGCGTTGCTTAAACGCCCGGGCTGTCCCATCCGCCTTCTTTTTTTTTGCCGGCGCCTTGTTTCTCGTTCATCATCAGCAAAGACATCATCGCGATACCCGGGCTCACAACGCGCAACTCTTCACAACCACGACGAAAGACAAGGCATCATCATCCGAGCGCTCAAAAGAGTTCTTGAGAGAAGATAAAAAAAAGAATTTCTCCATAATGATGATGAAACGTTCAGCACTCGCCATCCCGTCTTTTGCGTCTCGCTGCTCCCTCCTCCTGCTGTTGCTGCGGACAACCTCCGCCCTCCCGCAGCTCCTGCTCCCTCCGGCCCCGCTCACGGGCTGCCTCAGCGCAGTCATGGACCTCAACGACGACATAGCGCTGGGCAACCCTTCCGCCGCCGCCAGCTCGATCCACACGGAGCCGCCCGAGGCCTGCCGCGCTGCCGGCTTCAACGAGGTGCTCAACCTGCCTTACCAGCCCGAGGACGCGGCGGCCTTCCTAGGCGAGATAGCGCAGGCCATCGCGGAGTAGTGTTAACTGCCAGTGAAGACATGTCGAAAGCTCGAAAACAACACCTTAGAATACGAGGTCGCGACGTGGCTCAAGCTACGAAACCTTTCATATATACTCCGGCTTGGCATCCGTTGTTGCTACTCCCCCATTTGTTACATACATATGATATAGGCCGTCGGTCTACTGCCCCCTTTCCTACCCGGAACGACCGAATCCACCTGCCGGTCGAACCGTGCAGGCTGAGAATAAAACACAAATACCGACATGAAAAGGACACAACGAAACCGCTCAAGAAACAGGCTCTTTTTTTCATTGCTGATTCCTCTCTCCGGATCCCTCTCTTCCTAAAACGAGAACTTGCCCAACGCACACGCACAGGCTTTGATATCAACATGGGGGTGACAGAGCAACATGGTCATCCGACCCCCGAGTCCCTTCCCTTCCCTGAAAACCTTTCATCATTTCGCTGCAAGATCCTCAAACGCCGCGTCCAAGACCCCACACCCTTCCCTACCCATCGCTGAAGGGTAAATTTCTGTACAAAGAAGCAAAAAGAAGCAGAATATTGGTTGTTCGTGGCCAGGAACCCCTTTTGTCGTGACGAATAGTACAGTAAGAATCATGAAGAGCAAAACGCCGGTCTTTGCGAACCCGCCTCTGCTTCCTCCCTTCTTGGTGATCTATGTACTTGGCAACACTCGCAAGCTATGCTGTCGGTATGCAGATATGCGAGCAATCATGAGTGCAGGCGATTCATATGCGCAATGTAGACCGGCGCTAGATTCCGAGGCCATGTGCGAGTTTGTGTGTCTGAAGATGCAAATACCCGAGCTGGACTTGTGGCTACGAGTCTGCCAGCCTGGCAAAGTGCTTGGACCATATCCAACCCACTTGTTCTCTCGGATCGTCCTGGTTTTTAGCGAGCCATAATTCACCCTTTTCGGCGATCACATCAAAGATCTATCAATGGTCAGTTAGCACGCATCAATCAGGTCAAGGCTGCACGAGTCTTACCTCGCCTGCCTGATATGTGAGGTAAGGATACCCGGCTTCGTTCTTTGTCGTCTCAATATTGAACTCAAACAGTGACGCAGCAAGCCATAGCACATTGTAATTGCTGCTTTCGGGGAAGCGTTCTCTTGAGGACGCCCGGGACGACCTCTGGCTCTCTTCGGCACTGTCTGGCAATGGTAGTGCCGAGTGGAATAATCCCGAGTAACGCTTGGGTTCTGTGGCAGGGTAACCAGAATTGTAAGTCGAGTTCGAGTCCCGCCTGTTATGCAGGCTCGAGTCGGAACTTTCCCTGGGCAAGCCACCAGAGTCATAGCTCCTCCCAGTACTGGGTCTTGCCAGAGGATAACCGCCCGCAGCGCGCAAGCTTGGCGACGAATCTTCGGTCCGGGGCGACGGTGGTACGGATGGTCGCTGCCCGCTGCCGCTGCCGCTGCCGCTGGCGGTGGCATTGGCATTGGTGTAGTAATCGCGATAGTAGTATTGGTGAGGGCTCGGGACTGTGCTTGTAGGGGAGAGTGTGAACTGCCCGCTATTGCGCTTGAACTCCGGCGTGGGCAAGGCCGGGGTTTGTTCACTATTCATCGAGCGACCGCGATTCCGCGGAGTGAGCTCCGCGGGGCGGGGTCTGTTCCTTGGCGTCCCGTCCTCGGTGCTGGCCCTCGTCGTAATGGTCGACTGAGATGCTCTCCCCTTGTACTCGGGATGAAGAATGCCAATGGTGTCGAGCTGATCTTGCGCAAACTTGAAGTCATGTTGAAATATCGAGACGACATCGGGCATCTCTGGCAGCGACGAAGTGTCTGCAAGGACAACTTTAACTTTGTCCTTCCAGATCGAATACCACTTGGCCTGTATGTTGACGAGGTTCTCCAGACAGATCTTTCCAACCTTCTCCGTAAGGGCGGACAACTGGGGCAGCTCTTTGATCAGCGTATCGTTCAGCGCATCGTACTGCTCGACAAGTTCTTTCAGCTTCGGATCCAGCGTTTTGCCACCCTTTCTGATCTGTTCAGCTCGTTCAAAGTCCAACCGGCGTTTCTCCCTCTTCTTCATGGCCAAGGACGGGTTTCCGTACGCCTTGATGACGAGTTCAAAGGGCTCAATGACTTGCTTCCGAACTTGGGCAAGATGCTGATCCAAAGCAACCTTCTCTATGTCTCTCATGGATACATTGAACTGTACCCATTTGCTTTCAATCTCTGGGTAGCTGCCTGGCTGAAGTCTCATGACAAGCTCCATCGACGAAAGGTATTGGAGAAATTCGTGGACATAACTCGTTACTTGACGGGTGTAGAATTCTACATCCCGAAGGACAACTTGGAGCCGGAGATAGTCGTCACCAAACTTCTCGTGCAGTTTCGCGTACTCAGGGTCCTCAGGGATGCGCGTGCTTGTCGCCTGGAGGCGGTCAACACGTTTGCCGAATGCGCGGGCAAAACCAGCTTTGACGTCTGATTCTTTGCGCTTTCGCCCAACGATCTGGCCCACGAGCTCAAAGTTCTTCTTCGTCTTGTTGATCTCAATGATGGCAACTTCCAGCGTATCCTTGGCAGCAACAAGAGCAGGTCGGTCTGGGTGGTCTGGCGGTGTGTGCTGCAAAATTGTGAGGATTAAATTCGGGTACTTGGTGAGTCGCTGCATAGGTTTGATGAGGAGTGAGTCCAAATCCCATGCCGCAGTCAAATCCTTGGCAACCTCGTGGCATTCATTCAACCACACCTGGACAGTGGGGTCTTGCTGAATCTGGATAAGTCTTTTGGCGGCGAGATCGCTGTTTCGGAGAAACCCCTCGTGTGCAATCTTCATTTTCTCGGCGTTCAACTGGAACAGCGGACCCAGCGTCGTCGTGCGATCCTTGGCGTCGTCTGACTCCGTCTGGCTCTGTGCACCAGAATTTGATCCAGTCGAATTGGACTTGATAGAGGCTTCCTTTGGTGCAGAAGATCGTCGACCTTGAGGGATGTAAACAGCAGCAACGGCATCCTTGAGTTGCACAAGGAAAGCCGTGTGAAAGGCCACAATCTCATCCACATTTCGAAAGATATTTTTGCTCGTTTTGCCGTCCAGTTTCGGGCACGCCTCTGCCGTCCCCTTGTAGATCTCCTCGACGATGTTCATATCGCGGACGAATACCATCTCTGTGTCCACAAGTTCCTTGATGACATTTCGCCGCTGCTGGAGGCGCCGTTGCTCTTTCGTGATCGGTACGCTTTGGTCTTTGTCTGTCTCGCCGGTCAAGGAAACTTTGGTGTCCGTCTGATCGTGGAGCGTCTGGCTCCCGAGTGATGGGTCCCGCGTTGAGAGGGATGTGTGGTCGATCGAGTGTGCGTTTGATGTAGGTCGTGTCAGATCTTCACTTGGTCTTCTGGATGATCCTACCAAAGTGCTAGCTGGCCGTGTCTCTGGTTGGTAGTTGCTCGACGGCGGCCGGCGGGACTCTTTAATGGATCCTGCATGAGAGAAGGGCACTGGAGGAGGGCTATACTCGGGCAGAGGGACGGAAGAGAAATCTCTACTTAGTCTGTCCGACAAGTATGGGATCGAGAAACCCCCACCAGTGTCCAGTTCTGGCAATTGCGGTTCTTTGGACCTTGGAGAGGAATGTCCGTCTGCCATTTCGAGTAGCGACGGCTCTGAACCGTACAATTCACTGTGCCTGGCAGATGAGGCGCCGCTCGGCGAAGAACGATACCGGGCGTCCGACGCGAAGGGCGGGTTGGGCAGTGGAAGGGCGTCGCTGTGTCGAGCAGAATCCCTCGGTGAATAGTCGGCCGTCCCATTACTCTCGACGGAAAAGTCTGTCCATGCAGACTGATGACTGTAACGACTGGCGACGGGCAGCAGCGGCGGTATCGTCAGGCTATGCGAGGTATCTAGCGTTGGCAGACTATCTTGAGTGGTCTGGTACGTGTCGTCAGGAGCATCGGAATCGCATGTCGAGACCCTGCTGGATACCAGCCCCTCTCTGATTCGGTAACTCAGTGGCGTGTCATGTCGATGCTCACCCTGCCGAGACGGCGAATGCGTTTTGTCACTCTCGCGCTGCGATTGCTCTTGTCGAACAAAGGTGCGGAATGCCCTTGCTTCATGCTGGTCTAGACTCATGTGGTAGGAATCATCATGAGGCTCATCGGCGATCGAAGAACGCTCAGGCTTCGTGAATTGATCGGATTCTCGGTGAAGAATCTTAACGGTAGTTTCCAGTGACGGGCTCGAATACGGCAAAGGCTCGTACTCGTCCTTGTAAGCCTCCAAGTTCGATGCGGTGTCGGGCTGTGGCTCGGCCATTTGCTCGCTGTCGACATACTTGGGTGTAGAGTGTGGGGCCTCTTCAGACGTTTGTTGAGGCACATCAGTTGCGGCGATCTTGATAGAGACCTGTTCATCCTCGACGGCTTCCTGAGGGAATGAGTCGTGGTGTGTGACGTGTTCATCTGTCGATGGGGCCTCAAAGGGCGGCGTGCGAGCACCGAGGCGTTCGTCGTCCTCCGGGACATCGGCCTCGGACACAGTGAAGCTGCCAGGCATGTCTGGCAAAGCCAGACCCAGGCCGCTTGAGGTAGCCCCGTGATCGGGCTGAACAAGCGGGAAAACCTGTGGCTCATCGTCAAACTCTGTAACATCGGTAGCCATCGAAATAGCTGACGGCGGCGCTTCTTCGAACTCGATTGCGGGACTACCAGCTGGAAAACTGCCTGGAATACCAAGGGTCGGGGACTCTTTGACGACATCGGGCTGCGGCGACAGAGTGGCTGGGCTGGGCTCACTACACTCTGTACCTGTTGGGATTTTCAGAGGCGAGAGCAATCGCGAGTCGAGATCAGAAGCTGCAACATGGTCATGTGCTGTGCGTTCGTCTTGATTGGCTGCTGCTTGCGATGCTGTCAGCGCGGCTTTCGTCCGGGCTGCGACTTCCAATTCTTTCTTTCGCCTCTCTGCAGCTTGGAGCCTCGCCTCGCGTGCCTGGCTGTCGCGGATGGACTTTGTGTACGCCAACCTGATATGCTCTCTCCGCTGCTCGAAGTCCACCGGACCGACAGATATCTTGCGCCTCCGTGTAGGCGCTTCGGTGGACTTTTGTGCATTGCGCGTCGCATGATAGTGCGGCGACCGAGCCCGTTCTAACGCCTTCATCCGTGAACTCGTCGTGGTGGCGGTTGCAACAGACTGCCGAGGGCGAGAACTGCGTAATGGTGGCGATAGCTTGGGAGCGGGTACTCCGCCGTAAGGTGTCAATCTACCGTTGTTGCTCGGTGTCGTGAGCCCTTGAGGGGGCGCTCGTCGTGTCGACTGTGTCGGTGTTTTGGATCGATAGCCTTGAGCGCTTGCCGCCCTGGAGGGTCTGCCGTGGGGTTTGATGCGATGCAGGTTGGATGGGGAGTTGGCTCTGGAGTTCCCGCCGGAGGGTGAGCTTGTCGAGAGACTGGGACTCGGGCTGGCAAGTCTTCGGACAGAAATGGGCAGTCGTGTCGAAGGCGAGACGGCGCGACTACGCTCGGTGGCTCCGACAGCAGGCGGAGGCGGCTTTCGCGGAATGATGGACGGCGTGTCGCTCTGCGCCCGCACGTGGCTTTTGAGGTGACGTGTTTGTTGAGGCTGTAGGCCGTTCGTGTCGTCATTCGCGATGCGGTACCAATCGGTTGGAGATGATGGTTCAATCAGATCAGGGTCGGAAAGAGTGCGTTGGTGTGCGGATCTAATGCTCGACACATTCGATTCCGACGTCCTTCGCGGCCGAGAACCCGATCCTTCGATGCCATGACCAAGGGTGTGGTTATCGCGCTGATCGGGTAGGATTTCGCCAAAGAGGAGGGTTTGCGACTGAGGAATCATGGGTGACGCATTCGGTGAGGCGGTTGTCGGTTGGAATGAGTGTTTCTGCGACACGGTTGGAGTGGATTGCGAAGGCTGTGCGTTCAATGCCACGGGCGTTCGAGGTTTTCCTATTCGACTGGCAAACGATTGCGAGTTGTTGGAAGTCTGGTCTTCGGCGACAAACTTTGTCCTCTGGGTGCTCCGCGTTGCCCTGGCGGAGTCTGGTGTCAGGTTACGGTCGACGGACGTCCTGAGGGTGGAATATGATGTTTGACGCTGACCCACGGGGGCAGTGGGTAGCGGCTTGTCACTGCTCGTCGCAGGCTTGTTTGGTCGTGACGGGATACCAGTCCGTACGGGAAGCCGGGGTATCGCGGTCGGAGGGCCTTGGTCAAACTTCTTAGTCAGGTCCTTGACGCTTGGCTGGCGTGCTGCATTGTTCAGCCTCTTGGGGCCCGTCGTGCTCGAAGGGTCAATCGGGGCAGAAACAGATCTTGTCGCTGTACGGAGGCCGTTGAGGGCTGTTGGCATGGGAGGGTGTTTGGCTGTGGTCCCGTTGCCATTCGACCGCAAGGAGGCGGGATCCCTCGGTCGAGGCACGGATGTGGCCATTGGGGCGCGTTCGGACGAAGAGGAAGGCTGTCGGCTGTGCTGGTGGTGGTAGTGGGTCGAGGAGGCGCTACGATAGTCACGATAGAAGTCGTCTGGTGTCACGACCGCGACGACATGACTTCCGATGCCACCGTCAATACCGTCGCCGGTCGGACTGTCAAATGCCACGGAAGCTGCGAAGGGGTCAAGGCTGTCAATGTCGAAAGTGGTCTGTGTGGCTACGGGGCGACTGCCAGGAGTGTACGGGGTGTCGGTCGGAGAGAGTTCAGGGGGCTCGTCGTAAACAGGGTAGGTGTACTCGGTGTGGGCTTGTGTATGGTGCTGGTGCTGGTGTTGGCGGTGAAGACTGTCCTGGTATCGTGCGTCGTCGTCGTCGTCGTGTTTGACGTAGGAGTGGTGGCCGTCGACGGCATGGGTTGGGTGGTGATGTGCGTGATGGGCATGGGCGCGACCACGGTCAGAGGCCGTGCGGAGGGTGTCTGTACCCAGAGGGTCCTCCTCTTCTCGAAAACCGTCCTCCATTGTGGCTTGAACATCAGTCAGGCTTGTCGGAGTCGGTCTTCACTTGCCAGTGTTTGGCGCATCTCCTGCAGGTGGTGGGTTGTTTGGGCTCGAAAGCATCGATGAGCTGGCCAGCAATATGAATGGGCAGCGAGGTTTGGCGGAAGGACGACTGGCAGGTCAGAATGGCCCCGGGCAGCTCGAGGCGGGACAGGCAAGCGTTGGTGTTGGCAGCCCCCTGGTCGGCAGAGGGCCTATCAACGACGTAGTTGAGGGCAAGGATGCGCGCCCACAGGGCCACGTCGAAAGGCACCCTGCCAGGGGGGGTGTCTGGTCGGCAGGAACAGAACAGTACAAGCGCACAAGGGCAACTTGACTCGACACACAAGAAGTGTGGTCTGGCAGTTTGAACAGGGAGCTCTACTTTTGGCTGAGTGAGAGAGGGAGGGAGGCAGAGCAGAGCTGATCTGTGATCTGAGATCGCGATGCAACAGCAAAGGGACACGAATCGGGGTTGAATGGGGCTTGCAGTGCAACGATGCTGCCCAGGGTTTATGAAGAAGAACCGGTTTAAAAGGAAGCAAAAGCGGGCAGGATTGAAGAAGAGACGACGTGATTGTGAAGCAGGTAGGCACCTACGTAGGTACTTGCCTCAGGTAGGTACCTCAGGTAGGTACTCACCTACCAAGGTAGGGTCAGGGTACCTTGGGGATTGGTAAACAGAGGCAAGGCAGTAGCAGCAGTATCACCGACGGCAGGAGCATGTAGTAGCAGCAGCAGCGACAACAGCAGGGAGCAGGAGCAATCATCAAGACGCTAGCACACTGGCGCCCGGTGAGGGCCCCATCGACGACAAGGGAAGGTGGGCAACGGTGGGCTTCTGTACTGAACACTGGTGGGTCAGGCTTGGCCCGGCGCGCGAACAAGCCCCAACTCAGTGCCTTGCCTTCCCTGGTCATTCACCTCGTAACTCGTAACCTGACGGAAGCGCATACTCTGTGGACTGGAAAGCCGGCAAAAAATTAAATTGTCGTCAAAATCTTCTTGGTCAGGTGGCAGAACCGTGAGGTGGTGCAGGATTTTTCTTTGCCTCGATATTCGTTGCTTCTGCTGATTCAAAACCGATACTCATGTCGGATGGTCCCGCTCCACCCCCGAAGCCCCCTACCCCCTCGTCGCCCGCTGCCTGCGACTGTGACAGCAAACGTAGGTACTGGTACTGGCTGTACAGTATGTGCAGATCACTGCAGCCATGCAGTGTCAGTCGGTCCAACCGCCCGTGGAACGGTCAGAGGAGGAAGTGCCTGGGGGGCACAGCAAGAGTGAGGGAGCCTTTGTGTTGATGGTACACAGAAGAGACAGGGCTTTCCACCAAACGTGCGTCCCAACCGCAAGAACCACCTGAGGCCTCGATGAGCACAGGGCCCGGCATGAACTGTCTAGAAAATTGCATCCAGGCACGAGAAACAGGCACGACATGAAATGTTGGCATGGCAGTAAGACAAGCAAGAGACTTGAAAGAAGCACCAGAAGCATCACATTCGAACTGATGTCAGGACCCCCTCTTCCCCCCCCCGGTCAGCCTCCCCTTGCGCTCAGGAGCACCGCTCATGTGCCTAACCGGAAACCCCTTTAGCGCATGGACTGCCCCAAGATTGGCGGTTGCCGAGAGCCCAAGCTCCTCTCTAGCGCACGCTTTGCCGGTCTGAATACGGGCCTAAATGTCGTTTCAGGCCCTGGGCCAACTGTGAGCCACACTGCGCGCCACTGGATGCCTCCGTCTCGAGTCCGCGCTGCCACATCCCACACCCATTTGATCGACTCAACGACTGGACAGGCATCGCGCTCCTTCATCACCACCCGCGCCGAGCCGACGCGTTGTGAGCCAATTGCGACGTCAGCCAAACGCGTTGATCGCCTGTACCAATTGCCTGGTGTCGAATCGTGGGAAGGCGGTCCAATCGCCGTGGCGTTGTTTTACCTGGCCTCACCGACGATTCGCTCGACAACTCTCAACAATTCTGTACCCTCCAATGCCCACCGACAAATGCCACGATGGCAACCGCCGTCCGAGCTGGGATGAAGAGGGTCGGTGAAGACAAAGGCGCGAGCCATGAAAGACCTCCCCCGCTAAAGAAAGCCAGAATCCATGCCACCGCCAATCCCGTAAAGCACGCTCTGCTTCGGCAGTATTACCCTGAAATTGTATCATTACGCCACTATCTCATCTCTAAGTTGCCAAGCGCGTCAAGACTACGTCGCAAGAAGATAGCCAGCATTGGCTCCGAAGAGCCCCGCTCCTCGGCCGATTTTAGAGACGACCTTGAACGTCAGCTGTGCCATCTGCTGGACACTACTGTTGTTGGCCTTCAACACAGTCAACTGCCGGCAGCAGATGGCAATGTTCGACGAGAGGAATGGACCAAGTTCTCTCAGAGAGGCGATGAGTCCTATGTGACGCTATCGGGCGGGCTGTCTGACGCGCTCTTTTCTCAGGCAGAGGTCTGCATAGCCTTCTCCCATGCTTCTTTTTCCGAGTGCCTGCTGACATAGGCCCCGCGTAGATTGTCGACTTCGTTGTCTGGCTTCTCTTTTCCCAGAAAGGCAGCAACGCCACCTGGCCTAAGCATCTGCTCTGTGATGGCTTTCGTAGGAATGCCACGCATGCCGCCACATCGGCCATTCCTGGGCTGCTCTCCGTGTACCCAAATCACCATGTGGAGGCTCTGAAAAAGAGTCCCTGGCCGGAGCTACTCATGTTGCTGGGCAAGTCAGGCGAGAGTATCATGATTGATCTTCTTGTTGATGGAGCTATGTTCACGCCCATCCAGACGGGGTTGGGCAACATGTATCAGCTGAGCGGTGTGCCCTTGTCAGAATTGAGCCCAGCGCAGAGCCAACTTTCCAAAGCTCTGATGACGGACGCAGTCCCACAGCGACCGTTGTCTGACATCACCTTCGTCAGAAGCCGTATGATGTATGCACGAGCCGCACTCAACACTCGCGGTTTCGTGCTCTTTGGATTTCGTCATATTCGTAAGGCTCTCGTTCCCAAAACAGCTTGATCTTTGCTAACAGCGATTGCAGATGTTTTGAATCGATGTCCGCTTCCAGGCATGGTAACGCTTGAGACAAAAGGATCAGGGATTCCGAGCAAGATTGAAGACAGCACACGGAAGTTGCTGATGTATATTTTCCCACGACAGTTCGGCCTGCATAACGTCTTTTCTTCCGAAGTCGACAGACGGCAGACAACGCAGAAGTTCCAGGATTATACCCTACGAGAGGACGAGATCAAGTCTCTTCATCCTCACTTGGGATGTTCCGGAACTGAAAAACCTAGATCCCTGCCGAAAAGGCTGCGTGGGGAGGTCGTCCGCTTGATCCAGCGTTTACAGGTCCGGCATGCTCGGTGCTCGTATACTGAACTGCTCCGACATTATTGCCCATCTGCGTTGGATGCCAATGCAGGACAACGACGTTCCATCCACGAGCAGCCTGGGAGCAAAAAAGCAGCCGTTGGCAAACGGTCATCACTTTCTGCGACCCAACAGACAATGTCGAAAAGGTCAGGGCTGCGACGAAAGTCCGGTGGCAAAGACTATCGCAGGTCTACGCAGATCGCACAACAGCCACCACAGCCCACCGTTACGTTCGAAACAATCACAGACTTGGCAACTCCCGCCGCCCATGTTTCGGCCTTTTGCCAAGCGGTTCTTGCAAAACTTATACCCGATGACTTCTGGGGGTCGGGCTCTTCTCGGAGGTCTAATAAGCAGCTGGTCATGACGAAGGTGCACCATTTTGTCAAGCTTCGCAGGTTCGAGTCGCTATCGCTTGGTGAAGTTGCAAATGGTCTCAAGGTGTGAGGCCTTACCCATGTTGTAGTATCCAACTGACAAATAAATCCTAGGTGACAGACATCGGTTGGTTAGCACCGCCAGGCTTACTATCCCAGAAGACCAGCCTAACCGACAAGAACAAGCGCCTCGAGATTTTGAACGAATTCCTCTACTATGTTTTTGATTCCCTTTTGATACCCCTCCTGCGTAGTAATTTTTACGTCACCGAGTCCAGTGTTCATCGGTACAAATTGTTCTACTTTCGTCACGACATCTGGCGTTACGTGGCAGAGCCAGCCATGGCGGAGCTCAAAGTCACCATGTTTGAGGAGGTTAAGCTGGATCATGCACGGAGGATATTGGAGAACAGGAGACTTGGGTTCAGCCAAGTCAGGCTGCTGCCCAAACAAATCTCCATGCGCCCCATCACCAATCTCCGAAGAAGGGCCGCGCCGATAGGCAACAAAAAGATGCTGGGATTGAGCATCAACTCAATTCTTGGGCCGGTGTACTCGGCCTTGAAATTGGAAAAGGTGAGCCTTCGCTCCTGATACGAGGTGAAGCATCGACTGACGACTCAGGAACTCGACCCATCCAAGCTGGGCGCCTCACTGTTCTCTGTTCCGGATATCTACCGGCGGTTGAATGCGTTTAAAAACAGTCTGGGAGACACCCCAGGCAAGCTCTACTTTGTCAAGTTGGATGTCAAGGCTGCTTTTGACACCATTCCACAGGATGCCGTCCTCAAGTTGATGCAGGACGTGACAACCCAGGACAGGTATAAGCTGTTGAAGCACGTTGAGATCAAAGCAGGTCATGTGGGCGGAGTCCACAAGCCCACACGGCGGTGGCAAGCGGTTGCCATACGCGAGCACGATAAGACCCCGTTCCTTGATCGTGTCGAGAGCCAGCTGGCGCCGACCAAGCGGCATACAATCTTCGTCGACAACGTCATGCAGCGATCAGAGGATCGACGAAAGCTCTTGTCTTTGATGACGACGCATATAGAGCAAAACCTTGTCAAGCTCGGAAAGAAGTACTACCGACAAAAGAACGGCATTCCTCAAGGGTCGGTACTTTCCTCTACGCTCTGCAACTACTTTTACGCCGATCTCGAGCTACAACACTTGTCGTTTCTGAACGGTCAAGACTGTATGCTGTCCAGGCTGATTGATGATTTCCTTCTCGTTACCACGGATGTGCGCAAGGCGCGAAGGTTCGTCAAGGTGATGCACATGGGCTTCCCTGATTACGGGGTTTCTGTCAGCCCAGCTAAGACGTTGGTGAACTTTGAGATGGAGATTGACGGCGCCTCGGTGGCGAGTTTACCCAATGGGGAGAAGTTCCCATACTGTGGTACACTCATTGACTGTAGGACGCTAGCCATTGGGAAGGACCGTGCCCATATCAAGGATACAGGTGTGTTCATTTGCTTATTTTTGTTGCGTGATGACGCTGACAGGAGCAGTGACCTCCAACGGCCTAACAGTCGAGTTCGGATATCAAACTGGGCACAACTTCATGAGAAAGACACTGAGTAAGCACGGGGGGTTCTATGGTGCTAGGTTCCAGCTACTGACCACCACAGATGCTTTCAAAATCCAATCCCACATCATGTTCTATGACACGGGGCACAACTCCCCGCAAACCGTCTATTCCAACCTTTTTGATTCCTTTACCGAGACTGCCACGAAGATGCTGGCGTACGCCAAATGCCTTGGGCCAAGTCAACACCCCGCGCCTCGGATGGTCATCCGTAAGCCGCCTTTGTCAGATCACAGTTTGGCGTGGCCACTAACAATGTTTAGGCACAATTTCGAAAGTGATTGATGTTGCGTGGGTGCTTCTGACAAGCAAGACTCGCAGAGCAAGGTTTCCAGACTACAGGTGTGAGTTGAGCAAGCACCAGGTAACGTGGCTAGCACTTCATGCGGTCAGGAAGGCCGTGGCGCGAAAGCAGTCAGCATATCGAGATGTCCTTGAATGGATAGCTCGGGAGATCAGGAAATTACACTTCAAGAAGGAGATTCGGGATGTCGGAATCCTCAAGAGATTCGAGGATGTAGCTCCATGACAACTCACATGTCAGCGAGCAGACGCCTCTAATCCGGTCCTTCAAGTCTAGCCTGATCGCTCGTAGGACAAGCAAAGCATCTAGCACAACAATCACTGTGGTGTTGCATCCGGATGATATGATTCGTCAGTCAATGATCCATTCGGCATTCGGGGACGCACCTCGGCGCTCTGACGCATCCAATGGTGCATCAAACGGTTCACGCCAAGCCAGATATACATTGCATTGTTTCCTCTCTGTGCTGGTGGATGTGGCCATGGAAAAATCAGGTCACCACTGCAGCAAATGTGGGTCGAGGATCTCCGTCACAAGGCAAAGGTGTGCATCGGGCTTTGAACAACAAGCCGGACAAAGGCCCGGGGTCGTCCCGTCCGGGGTTTGAACCCTCGGATCGCCCCGTGCGGGTAGATGTTGATCGATCAGGCGGCACGGATGAGACCCTACCGGCCCCACGCAGATGACATGTCGACGAATGTACCACCTGCTATGACTGGCACTGCAGAAGTGGTCCTGATGCCGAGACACCTCCGCATGGGACGAGTTTGACGTATGGCCATGTGTTTGCCGGCAGGGATATGATCCGAGGGTAGCAATGACACCCGTCAGTGACTGCTCCCCGAATTACCGTTGATATCGGCGTCCGGCCGAGTGCAGACGTCCGCATAGCATGTGGAGGTTGTCGGCCGATACTGGTCTCTTGCAACTCTTGCCATACGTGTCTGGGGGTCTGGGTGCCACTGCAGATTGCGTCTTGGATCGGGCTATGAAATTTGTTCTTGCTCGGGGTTCGATGGCTCTGGTGCAAAGGTTCGAAACTCTGGCAGCATCCGGAGACGATGTCATTTGAGTGCTGCGCGAAAGGCTTGGTCACTGCAAGTGCTCAAGTATAAATACGCAAGGGGGGTTTCCTGAATTCCCCCATATAGTCATCAGCAAACCTGAACCTTGATCGCCAGCCTCTTCTTGAACTATCTTATTCACTCTATGCGAAAGCACCACTGCAAAGATGCCTATCACTAAATACAAGGCCGCCGCTGTAAGAAGCATTCCTTGTTAACACTTGAGAAACCCAGCTAATAGCTCAACGAGGTCACCTCCGAGCCCAGGGTAAGGGCACATCACTGACGAAGGTAGAAAGGTAGCTTTGCTGACACTCGATAGTGGTTCGACCTCGAGGCTGGCGTGCAGAAGACGATCAACTTTATCAACGAGGCCGGCCAGGCAGGGTGCAAGCTTGTCGCCTTCCCCGAAGTCTGTTAGTACCCCTAGCTTCGTACACACTCGCAGAGTCTCGAGTCGATTTCTGACACGCTGTAGGGATCCCCGGCTACCCCTATTGGATGTGGAAGGTGACCTACCTCCAGAGCCTGCCCATGCTCAAGAAGTACCGCGAGAACTCGCTCCGCGTCGACTCGGAGGAGATGCGCCGCATCCGCCGCGCCGCCCGCGACAACCAGGTCTTCGTCTCCATGGGCTTCTCCGAGCTCGACCACGCGACGCTGTACCTGGCGCAGGTGCTCATCACGCCGACGGGCGACATTGTGAACCACCGGCGCAAGATCAAGCCGACGCACGTGGAGAAGCTCGTCTACGGCGACGGCGCCGGCGACACGTTCATGTCCGTCGTTGAGACGGAGATTGGCCGTGTCGGCCAGCTCAACTGCTGGGAGAACATGAATCCGTTCCTCAAGGCCCTCAACGTCAGCATGGGCGAGCAGGTCCACGTCGCCGCGTGGCCCGTGTACCCGGGTAAGGAGAGGCAGGTCGCGCCCGACCCGGCGACAAACTACGCGGACCCGGCCTCGGACCTCGTCACGCCGGCGTACGCCATTGAGACGGGCGCGTGGGTGCTCGCGCCCTTTCAGCGGCTGTCGGTCGAGGGATTGAAGGTGAACACGCCCGAGGGCGTCGAGCCCGAGACGGACCCTTCGGTGTACAACGGGCACGCGCGCATTTACAGGCCTGATGGTAGCCTGGTGGTCAAGCCGGAGAAGGACTTTGACGGGCTGCTATTTGTGGATATTGACCTCAACGAGACGCACCTGACGAAAGTGCTGGCCGACTTTGCGGGGCACTACATGCGACCAGATCTCATTCGGCTTCTTGTCGATACGCGCCGCAAGGAGCTCGTCACCGAGGCAGAGGGACAGAACGGCATAGAGTCATATAGCACGGCGCACCGCCTTGGGCTGGATCGCCCCCTTGATAGCGTGCCAGAGCGGGACGTCAAGAAGGTTCGCGGGAATGAGGCAGCTCTCAAGAGCGCTCACGAGGGTTAGAGCTACATGAGGCCTGGACTAGGATCTCTACCATGGAATGGCACGCTCCTGGCTATTGTAGTACAGGATGAACGGTTTCTACTTTACAAATTTGGGGCCGGCAGTGCGTTCCACCGATCACTTGTGATGTTACAAAAACTGCGGATCAATGGTCTCCTCTTCAGGTATGATCCAGTTCATCTCTACCGCGGCCCTGTACACCCATGTTGTGTGCTCCCAGTCCAGTCGCTGATAGACAAGAGACATGATGTTATCCGCCCAACCCTTCAGCCACCACTGCCCCTCAAAGGCCTTGACAACAACGGCCACATGTGCCCACAGAACCATTGTCTCTTGCGTCGGCAGTTGCAGCAGCAGCGCGAATTCGTCGAGGGATCGGAATAGCCACACAAAAACGTCAAACTCCTGCCACGACGACATTGTTTCAGCAGCCTCCCGTAGGCGGTCGAGGAATGAAGTGTAGGAGCCCAATTCTTCAGGGTCTAGGACGGTGTCGTTGAGGCGTTGTTGAAGCTCGTCTAACATGTCAACGATCGACACCGTGGGGAGCGTTGTGGCGAGGAGAACACCAGAATCTTGCAGGGACCAGCGGGCCCCAAAATACGTCGTGAGGGGTGCGAGGTAGCCTTGCTGGATGGCGGAGCCCAAAAAGTCTGTAATGGAGCGGATTCCGTGCATTGTCCAGTACCACTGGTGGAAGAAACATGGGTTCTCCGACGAGTCGGCTTCTGACGGCGGCTCGGGGAGATTCAGCACTGCCGAATGTCAGGGTTCATCCTCTAAAACACGACTGGATGCAGTGCGGGCTGTGGCTTGACACATACCAACAATGCAGGTGAAAATGGAGAATAGAAACAAGGCGTTGCCGTTCTCGGGCGTGATATTATCGAGAAGTATCCTGGCTGACTTGGACGCGCGGTGATGATGTCGCATCGCTATAGACAGGTAGTGTTCCCTTTCCTCGAATCGAAACTGTGCCTTATGAAGCGCAGTGAGGGCAAACAGGGCGTGCATGAGGTAGTCATGCTTCAATGCGAGCCGTGGTACCGTCGTCTTCCAAAACCCTCGAAGCATCGATGCTGATGGCAGAGTTGAGCTTGTGTACTCTGTATAGGAGCACAGGAGCTCAAGAGAAGGCATGTCGAGATGTTGGTTGTCGTCGGGCTGCGAGCGAAGTATGGTCGCAGGCGGCTGCGTATGCTGACCAGGCTGGCCATGCTGACGTCGGGTGCGTCCTATCTCGGGAAGATACAAGCATGAGACTCCCATGCGCTCACAGCGTGTACATATGGGCCTAGACTCGTCACACTGCGATTTGGTGAGCTTCGCTATGGAGCTGGCCATGCCGCGCAAGAAGGCACCTACTTTGACCTTGCGCTTCTTGCAAGTCTTGCAGCCACGCCTTGATTTGGTATGTTTCTCACGGCGACGCAAGGCAGGCTTCGGAGCCTTAGACTTCTGGCTGACGGGAGATGCGTACGGCTGTGAGTTGGGTGAAGCCAGGCAGGATCCAGCATCAGAGCTGCAGGACTCGATGGCTTCGGACATGGCCTCGGTTTCGGACCTCTTGGAAAAGAAATTCGGGTGTCTGATGAGTACGACGAGCCATTGCGAGAGAGCCGTAACGGATAGTCAGGCAGCCAGATCAACGATCTTAAACAGGACGGCGCCCGCAAAGCGGAGTCTGCGCTCTTCGCGTCCTGATAACACCAGGAGGTTTGTGCATGCTCGAGAGTCCCGAAAAGATTTCTAGAGCTTGGCCGTGTGGAGTCAACGTGGGCAGTGCTCATGAGCTCTAATCATGGTGGTAAAAGGGGTTGCCGACTACTGTGTCTCTGACAGTATACGGTACCTAGTAGGTTCCGCGATTGTGAGATGCCTTGCTGCGGCTGGTTGTGCGTGTCAGGGAGGAACGAAGAACGAAGAACGAAGAACGAAGCGCAATCGATGGCGAGTCAGGGGAATAAACGAAATACGAGCCTTGTACGAAGTACGAAGCGGGACGGCTGGCTACTCAGGCCCAAGACGATCGGCGAGGCGAAGCACCAATGTGGGGCCGTCGTGGAGGGTCTCACCACCGCATAGAAACATCCACCCACCCGTCCACTTGCCAGCTTGTCCACCTTCATCTCCCTAGCTACCTAGCTACCTATCTACCTTGGTAGACTTTCAGCCCTGGCGCTTTTGAACGCGTCGCAAGCAGTGACTAAATGGAGATGACTCGGCAGTTTCACTAAGCTTAACCGCTTCAGGTTGCAAAGGCCTCGGCGACATCCGAGGCCATGACAATCATGCGTTTCCTTTTTAACCTCGAACCCATGGCAGCTGGACCTGTCAACCTTGCTTGGGTTTTGCTCGAGACATAAGAATCCCAATCCTCAAGTCGACTCTTCTGAGACAAGCGAAAGACGCGTTTCCACACCTGTACCAACCAAGATACGTCGGCAAGACCAAGAGACCGTACCTATGGGCAACGAGAAGGACCAGAGTGCGGAGAGACGCCACCACGATGTTCACCACACCTGGGACGATGAAGCGCCACCGCCCAATGAATTTGCTCGTCACAATCAACCTTCTTCTTCTTCGTCAATTCACAGCGACAGCGCCCCTCCTTACGCAACACAACAGGATTATCACTACTCCATCAACTACCCAGTGACTGCCAGTGCCGATGTGCTACCTGCCGATCATGACCTCCGTACACCACATCTAAACTCACAA